CCATCTACTGATGGAGCTGAAGAAATACCAATACCTACCTTGGAAGAGGTGAATTTTGCAGTTTTAAATTAAAAAATAACAGAGCTTCAGCGCCAGATGGACTGAATGCCAGACTTTTAAAAGTAGATCAAATGAGTCTTATACATAGACTACGGAAGTTCCGCTTCATCTGTCTTAGGCCCCCCCCCATTGTTGTCACAACCATGGAAAAACATGGGTAAGGTAGTTTTTATATTAATATCAGGATTTTGGAAAGTAGGTGAGATCAGTTTTTAATTTATACTTTTAATTTCATAGTAAACATGAATTTAATTAATTTTGCTGTTTCTTGGTATTTGAAATTTGAAAAATTTTCAAGTTATATTATTATTGTAGCATGTACAGCCATTGCTATGCAATGACCGCAAGATAGGTAAATAAACAATAGTGTTATGCAACTCATTTCTAGGCAACGGTTCAGTAAATACATTCCCACAGCAATGAATATGCATGCAACAGTAGGGTTACTGTTGGAAATGGTGATTCGTACTCAGTCTCTGCTAGGGGGTTATAAGGAAGACAGTTGGGGCGACCCAGTCAGTTGAGAGTTGAGTTCTGCAAGGGAAGTTGAGAAAAGATGGCACTATATTTCAGTTCACAGTTCGGTTGTGGGACAGTCACCAGCTGGTAAGAACATGAGCACAGAAGCTGAAGAATCTCCACTAATAGAAGCCGTTGCCAGGGAATGGCTATTAAAGACATATCAGGCTGGAGAAGACTTAGCATGTAGTGATTTGTAATGCATGTAGATCAGTGATAGCATTGTTTACTTGTAGTTCTTAGTGTTGGGTATAAGTGGTCAGTAAATCCATTCACCAGTCCATACCTTGTCTGTAGTCACATAAATTGTGACAATATACAACTTCAGAACACATGTACATTATGACAAAGAATCTACCCGTTTCCAAGACTTTTTGTTAGGTTTCATAATCTGGTTTCAGAAAATGTTTTTGATCGGTTTATTGAAAAGAGTACTTAGTGTAGACCACAGCTAATTTGTATCCAGTCCTTACTTCGTAAGAGACTTTCATCCTGTTTGGTATTGGGCTGTAGGTATTGCTTAGTATATTCGAGTGAGTACATTTATTTATTTTTATCACTTTACAACTTAGCTGATAGTATTTATCAGTATTTGAATACAGTGTCCCTGCACAGGTGTTGATAAGAAAGTGAAAATACATTCATGCTGTATTACGGTGAGTCCTCAGCTGGTCTTGCTATGAACAGTTGGCAAAGGTAAGAAGACTGCAACATAGGATTAGGCCACATGTGCACCAGTGGCTGTTTAAAAGTTACAAGCAGCTGTGTCTTCAGACAGGTCTGTGACTCACTGCTAACCAGTTATCTTCATTGTGACTGATGTTGCATGTCATTTGTTATGTTAGTAAACTGCACGTGTATGTTTGATATATAGAAGCTGAGGAATGACTAGATTAAATTAAAGTGGTATTTTTTAAATGACCTTTGCATCGTGACCATCCTGAATCTGTTCTGCATCAAAGAGTGACCTAGTAACATGACACATCTGTCATGTACAGATGTTTCTACATAGCTCAGAGCCTTGTTGGATTGCGACGGTGGCGAGAGGGCATGGCATTGTACCAGCGTGCGGAACAGTATGTCAGAGAGGCCCTTGAAGCCAGCAATGCCTCACAAGCCCTAGACAGCAAGTTACATACCCAACTACAAACCCTTAGTCATGACATAGAAGGGCAGGTATTCTCCGCACATGCTCATAGTGTGTTGGAGGGTGAGGGAGTTCAGGATGAGGAAGGTGGATCCATCCAAGTTGGCACAAAGACAAACTACAAAAGCAAGAAGGTATGTACAGTAAAATATGTTTTCATATACAGTGTAACTTCAATATAATGAGAATTTATAAAATTCATAAAACTGGTCATTCTTTCAGACAGGAACCCATAATATCTTAAAGTAGTTGAAATACATAAAAGGGATTGGTATGATTATGTCAGGATTTCTTCTTCTTTGATGTGGTTATCACAGAGATATAAAAATAATAAAGCATAATTCAGTGTTTGGGTTGGACCAGAAAGAAATATTCACTAAATATGGCATTTCACTGTACCACAAAAGAAAAATCTGTGAATAAGAGATGTAATTCCTCCTTGGAAAAAGAAGCTCACCAGTATGTATGAATTAGGTCCACTGAACTTGGAATTTAACCAGTCAGTAACTGTGACTTAATTTGCAGCACCTCTTGTCCTTGTCAGTTTTATATGAACTACTCGCTAACTGTACTTTAGAAACACCCTGCTTCTGATTCTTTGTTCTCCACCTTTTGTATTGCCCTGCTGTCCCCAAAAAATCATTGATTGCATACCTGTGATTCTGAGTATGACCAAACTAATATTTGCTTGTCATTTGTTGTTTTCATACAGCCACTCTACGAACGACTAGGAGAATACAGGGAGGACTCAACATTAGTGTCTCGCACACCCAATGTGTATAAGCTGCCACCAGAGATGCGACCCATACCATGTAAACCTCTATTCTTTGACCTTGCTTTCAACTTTGTTGAATTCCCGTCTCTTGAGGACAAAATAGAAGCTGCAGCAGGAGGAAAGAAGGGAGGAGCTGGACTCACAGGCTTTGTGAAGGGTTTGTGGGGATGGGGAGGCTCTGGCAAGAAATAGAATGGAATTGTGCTAAATCTGAGGTTTTCACAATGGTGACTGTGTACTGAGTACTGTTTTGTGGGTTGAGACACTGAGTAGTGTGGTAAAAGTTTATTGACATTTCAGAGAAATACACTGTCTTCATCTAGAGGGCAGAGACGAGCATAGTGACCTCAAACATCAGTAAACATCATACTGTTTTGTGGGTTGAGACACTGTGTAGTGTGGTAGAAGTTTATTGACATTTCAGAGAAATACACTGTCTTCATCTAGAGGGCAGAGACGAGCATAGTGACCTCAAACATCAGTAAACATCTATCAGGCTATACAGCGTCACATCTCAGATGACAGTATTCTTCAAAAGGATATTAGTTTTCATTCCGCTGCCATAGTTGACTTAAATTAAACTTTGCTACATTATCATGAGCTCGTGAAGTAACAAACTTTGGCTTAGTACAGTGAGAATTATTGCGAATCATGCAGCCCAGTAGCCATTCTCACATTATGGCAAACCTGAGAAAAAAAATTATATCTATGTAAGTATTGAACTATTTCATTGACAGTAGTGTGGAAATGAAAACTGGTCAGTAATGTAATGCATTATCATCTCTATCACGAAAGGGGATATATTCTGTTAACGCTCATGCCCACTGTCCCAGTTGTGGTATAGGATATGTATATTTTCCTATGGAATACTATGTACATCTTACATTTATGAGTTAAAAATATACAATGTCCTTGATAGTTCCTGCATATAATTTTCATCTTAGGTTACACCTTACTAAGAAAGAAGAATGGGGCATACATTTCAACCAGTAAAGGGGGTGGTTATCTGTCGAATGAATATTCGCTTGCGTAATATGTTCTTAATCAATCTGGGGTCTCCACAACTATTTCCACATTCATTTTTTATGGAAGATGGTAGTAATTCACATGGGCTTTCATGTAACATTGTATCTTTGAGTGGAAGGAACTTTCTTTTATATGGTGTCATTGTAATTTAACTGGCATTCCAGATGTGTGATGGGCAAATTATAAAACAGCAAAATTTGTATATTGTGGTGTTGTGGGTTATGATGCTATGTAGGTGGGTACCAGCAGCTGGGAAGATCATACTACCTGTGCCTTGTAGGGTTGAAGTCCAAGCTTCACCTCCTGAAGATGGAGATGTTCATCTTCACCTACTAAACTGAACCTACTGCCTCCACCTTTCTGGTTTTAAGTCCATATGTCAACACTAAAGACACAAGCAACTGTATTCTTCTGAAATGTTGGTATCCACCAACAAAACTAAACGGTGTCATAACTGAAAAAAATAACAATATGAATATTTGATGCCATGGAAACCACGAAAATTTTATATAAAGAAATTTACATGGGTAATTTAATAAATTCCTATCTAAAGAGTTGCATATAATGTTGACAACAGTAATTATGTTCCACCAGTCAAATGGCATGTCACAATATCAGCTGACAAGAAATTGCAACAGATTCAAGTGTCTGACATAATTCTGCAGTATTGCACACTGGTGTGATATAGTGTGTGTTGAAAAAGTTTGTTTTGATTTAGTAAAGTATCTGTTTCAATTCCAATTTGAGTATAAAAATGTGAACTGAATAGTGTTTTCTGTAAAAGAAATTACAGAACTTCTCTTAATTATGCTTATATTGCATATATACAGAACACTCCTTGCCTTTTATACAACCAATAAGATTTAATCATTGTTTTTGGAATGATAACTCTGTTCTTACATATTTTATATGTCATGCAGCAATTTAAATTGTAAATTCTGCATTTTTGCAATTTACTTTTTCCATTAAGTAGAGAATCTAGTTTTACTGATTAGATTTTTATATACAAGAAGTCATGTGTATATGGTTTAGGTTATGGCATTAACAGTGGTATTAAAAGGGAAAAAAATAATCTGTATTTATTTCTATGTCAGCACATTTTCAACACATAAAGTATGTACTATTGATCGTGGATGCAACCTGTCTTTGCAGTGTTGAAGCTAGAAACCCAAGAAATATTTAAGGTGGAAGGGTTGCTATGTACATTTATGAGAGGTTTTTAAAAATTTTGACTTGCCTTTGACAACTCTGACCTTTTCACATACTTTAATTACCATGGTCTATGAGTAGGAAACCCATAAAGATGGAGGGTTGTGAACCATTAGTACTCACATTATTTATTTAAGTGGGACTGGCCAGTCATCTGAATTATTTTCTACTCCCACAGATCCCTTCAAGGCTAATACCAAGGGGATTTGCAACTTCCCCGTCTTTGATAAAGGTTTCTACTTCCCAGCTGTCCATCAGCTTTACATGTCACATAATTTTCCCACATTTTTGGAGTCATCTGAAAGTTGGGAAGATAGATTTGTACCTCTGTATCTACACTGAACAGCAGTATTACAAAACATTGGCAATAGAAGTTATTTTATGTGCTACTCGAAGTCTCTGCTTTATAGTCAAAGCAAAAAAAATGTATAAACCTGCTGTAATAATTTATCCTATAATTTTATCACAGCTTCCATTCCAAACACATTTTAATTGATGTTGCTATGGTAATGTCTCTTCATCCAGGGGCAGACCAGTTCAGTAAGGTTCAAATGGCGATAATACAAAATCCTGCAAACCATACACTGTACTCATTAAAATCTGGATTTCAAAGCAAGCATTGTTATAATTAGTGTTGATTTTAATGTGAACACATCCTTCAGTATACGCATTGTCTACATATACAAAATTAAACTAAACTATTGAAATGATTTGCAATTTGTCTCCCTTATGAAACCAGTTTATCCATCATACAGTTCATGTACAACATGTGCATCTAGAAATACCCAGCGTTCCCAGCTTGCTGTGCCAAGATTGTAATATACATCATACAAACAAGTGTCAACTAACATCCAGTATTATCTGTATATACTTTCTGTGTACATAGGTTCCAATTAAAATCGTTCACACCTCCTGGAACAGGTCCCACAGGCCATACATACAATGATCCCACAAATGCAGAGTTTGAAATAATTGCCCGATTTTCACGAAGCATGAAAATGGGCCTTGTCATTTTGAAGAGTTCACAATTCGTTTACATCCTCGAAATGTTACCTTGGGTATTCAAATATTTTCAAATTATAACTCTAAATTCTACAACTCGTCTTTTTTTTTCCGAGATTCAAATTTTGGTTGTATTTCGGAAAATATATATTTAAGAGAAGTTTCGAATTTTCTAAAAATTAATAATTCCTTTTTTCGGTGTAAATAAATTGTGAAACGTTTAAAACATGCCAAGTATTTATACACATTTGATAATTTAAATTCCCTTATTTTATAAGGAATAATTTAGTTTATTCGGAATGTGGAGAAATGGACATTATCTGATAGATGTCACGTCGGTGAAAATCACAAAATGCTCCTCATCTGCTTCCGCAATGACTAGGGGAACAGGGCGCGTTAAATTTACGAGAAGTTACCAGAAATAGCACAAACTGCACTTGCTTTAGTGTTAACTTATTACCGATGGTTTTCATAGGGTGGCAGTGAAACGTACTTTACAGATATAATTACGGAAGAGATTTCGTAACTTGGCATTGATTCAGTCGACCTATGAATGACAATCCCGAGAAGCGTTATACGCGATATCTTGTTGAACAGAACTTTTCCTCCGCAAGGTTGCCCAGCTTGCCTACCCAACGCATGTTGTACCTGGGTCCAAGATTTATAAGACATTATCTGTAATTTGTACATCCCTGGATGAATTTAAATGTTTGTAACACTACCATAGTTTTTTGTACGACAGCGTGTGCGTTAAATTAGTGTATAGCACGAATTGATCTCTTTATTTTTCGTGAATAATGGCGAGCTTTGAAAATAAACTTAAAGATGTTATTATAAAATTGCATGAAATCGAGGCTCTGAAGTTTGGCATGTTTAAAATGAAAGTTGGAATCGAGTCACCTGTTTACGTAGATTTGAGAAGTGTTATTTCCTATCCGGAAATTCTGGTAAGTGAACTTATTATAAACTCAGCTGCCTTCAAAACTAATAGAATATCGGTTTTACGAAGGCCAAAACGACATCCCTACATTCGACACGTTTTCAGGTTACATAGACTTTGCAATATTATGATCAATAGCTTGATGCTATATCGGTGCCAAGTACAAGTGTATAACAAAAAAAAACGTGGCCTTAGACACGAAGGCTGGTACTTTCCAACCAGTGGTCCAAGTTCCTAGAAGTAACTTATACGGGTTTTTGAAGTCTAGTCACTGTTATGTAAAAATGGGTTTACCATAACAAGGCAAATCACTATAGTTAAGATTACAGTTTTCTGGGATGTGACACCTTATAGTTTGGCAGATGGATCCAACGTTTAGTTGGAACGTACTGATATCATCGTTTACCCAGAAGATGAGTGTAGGAAGTTGCTCAGAAATGTCGGTACCCAGGTATCAAACACATGACATAAAATCCCAGAAGACCATAATTATGACACTATACTCTACTCTGGGGGCACGCAGTAGCATAGTTGGTTGAGGCACTATGCTACAAGCTGGAAGGGCACGGGATCAAATCCCGATGAGGTGGATCCTTTCAATTGACCTACCCTTCCAGCTGCACTATGGCACTGGGGTCGACTCAGCCTCTAACAGAAATGAGTACCAGGAATATTACTTGGGGTAAAGGGCAGCCTGCAGGCTGACAACCTTACCGCCATCTGTGAGCCAATTGTCTAGAAAATGTAGCCTCAGCATCTCAACCCTATGGGCCTCCATGGCCTGTTAAGGGGATACCTTTTACTTTTACTCTACTCTATGCTAGAATCTCAGACTCACATACTTATAGAAACATTTAGTTTTCAGGTGGTGCATTTACGGAAATAATTTTGAAAATTGTATTATTTTGGTCCATCTGCACAGAGGATCTTCACACTACTTGGATAGTTTCCTTAGGCCATTTTCATTTTGATTTATTTTGGGTTATTGTAAGGGTCTAAATAAACTTTGATAGAATCGTTGGAGATTTGGGTAAAACTTGACATGTGACGCTTACATGAATTTGCATGTAAGTTTCATTCATTTCAGTATATACACATGCACACACATACATGCATAGACATAGACATTATACAAGCACTTCCTTGTGAAACTTAATTTCTCTTTAATTCTGTTTTAAGGACCTAGTTCGAATCTTTTGTATAATTAATTTTACTTCGGGACCCAAATGTATTTTCACCAATCTTTGGAGTTATATAACAGTATTATATTTAAGCATCCTGTTGCACTTTATACGATATATGATATAACTCCGTCCTAAGTGCAAACTATATTTATAGGTCTTTCGTTTTGTTCTTCTTTATACACTACATGTTTCAACCCCAAACAGCCATCATCAGGTGTATACACTCACGTATCTGTTACACTGCACTTATTTATAACATTTAAAATTTAAAAACATAGGTCTTCCTGATTGGCACTTATAAAATCCGCAAGCAGTCTGCTTTTACCGGTTCTTATGGTCTCTTCGCTCGCAGATTTCTTATATTTTTTCTTCTACTCTGAAGATGGAGGTGATACGTTCCTCCGAAACATCGGTTAACACCACATATACACGGGGCCAAATCCCAGAAGACTGCTTTCTTTCTGTAATTTGCTTCCAAATGTGAATTCCTTTTCATTATTTGTATATGCTGTGGAAGTTTGAATTTTAAAAACATGCATTTTCAAGATATGATCATGTAGCAAATTACTAGTAGCGAAATTTTGCTTCAGATTTAAACAGCATAAACTTCACACCTATGCTCTTTGCCTCTGAGAGCAGCTTGCCATCAGTGGCATGACATGCAGGTGTCACTCGAGAGTGAGTGAGAGAGAGAGAGAGAGTGCTTTATACTGTTATAATGCTTTGCTCTTTTTAAGGAAAATATAGCAGACTTGATGTGGGAATTCGCTGCACTGCGAAATATAGAGTGTGATCAGCTGTGTGGTGTGCCTTACGCAGCATTGCCAATTGCTGCACTTATGTCTTCACGTTCAAAAATTCCGATGGTGATGCGCCGCAAGGAGGCAAAAAAATACGGCACCAAGAAACTGATTGAAGGAAAATTTAATCCAGGTGATAACTGTGTTATTGTTGAGGATGTTGTTACAAGTGGCTCCAGCGTACTGGAAACAGTTGTGGTAAGTGTTCGAGAGTCCGTAGTCCCAAACATTTGTTCTTTTATCATCATGATTTCATGACACTTTACCCAGAATACCACTCATTCCATTTTTAGGTATTTTGTGCACATACACAGTGTGTCCAGGTTCTGTTAGGACTGTGTTCATTAAAAATACAAGACATGAATTATTTTCAAAATTTCACTCCTTTTATTCAAAATAGTCTCCTTCTAAATCAATACATAGCTGGAATCGTTTGAAAAGTTTTTGAAAACAGTCAGTACTCCTTTTGTGTAATCACATTTAAAACTGCGGTACATTCCCTTTGGTTGTCCTGGATGGTGTCGTGACCGTCTCCTTTCATCACCAACTTAACTTTTGGGAACAACCAGAAATCTGCTGGAGCCAAATCTGGCAAATATGGAGCATGATCAAGGACTGTGATCCCTTTTCTAGCCAAAAAATTGCGCACGATCTTCAATTTGTGGGGTGGGGCATTGTCATGGAGGAGCGACCAGGAACCTTGCCCTCAAAATTCAGGTCGAATTCGAAGAATTCTCGCCCACAAATCATTGAGGACTCCAAGATAATAATCAGAATTCACTGTTTGACCTTCTGGCAGAAATTCCTTGTGAATGATTCCTTTGGAGTCAAAGAAAATGGTTAACAATGTCTTTACTCGACTCAAAATTTGATGCACAGAACTTTTTGGTATTCCCAAAAGGTCCTCGATGAGTCTTGCAGAAACACATCTGTCTGATGCAAGGATTTCGGTCACTTTTTTCACATTTTCTTCAGTGCGACTTGTTCTCGGCTTTGATGCACATGGATCGTCTTCAGTGTCCTCCCTACCATCACACAATACAGCATACAATTGAAAATGCTTGAGGGACTCAAACAATCACTACCGTACGCACTTTTCATCATTTCGTATGCTTCTCAGGCTGTTTTGCCTAATTTTAAACAAAATTTGATGTTGGCTGTCTGTTCAACCGCCATTTTCCGACAAGCATCAGTACAGTACTGTTACATTCAAGGTCAGAACACATTTTGCAGCGATTCTTGTGCTTTGAAGTTATAGACTTAAAGAATCTTAACACCACAACTTGCCAACAGATGGCATTTCAGGGCAAATTTTAAAAAAATGAGTCCTAACGGATCCTGGACACACCGTGTATATGAGAAGTGATGAATAGCATATGGAAAGACTATCCATCAGCATGCGTGCAGTATTAATCCCCAAGAATAACAAAAGAGTGGCCACATGTAAAGAGAATCAAACAGAAAAATGCCATGGTCTTTGTCAGAGTACTGTCTTAGCATTTGCCTAAAGAGACTGGGAAAACCAATGTAAAACCTCAGAACAAGCAGTGCACTCTCCAATTCTTTATATTAGTGCAATTATTATCTTCTCTTTGCATAAGGTGCATAAGATGAGCATATCATGTCCATCTGCACTAGTTCCATTTCCACAACTGCTCAGTAGGTAATGATGAAATTTTGTATTGGAGATTCACGTGACAAAGTGTCAGGCATATTTAAAACCTATACATTATGTGAAGCCCAAACTGAAATTCATCACATTTCTAAACAACTGCCAAGCCCAATGATTATTACATGATATCGAATATAGCTCCGACTGGCCTGCAACTTTTAAACGTTTTTTGACGCACTGACTACAAAATACAAGAAAAAACAATTTCTGTCTCTGTAAAATGTGACCTTTTTTGCAACAGTAGATTCACATTTGGAATCTTCACATATATATCATATGAATGCATGGAAATGTGTTGCCATCCACCCGAAAACTGCTTGCATCATAACCTGTGAGATAACACCATACAGAATGAAAGGTTCAGATTATGACAAATGGAGTCCTTTGTGGTAATGACCATAATAGCATCCGACATGAGACTGGAAATCCCTGCTGACCAAAGTAACTATATCTTCCTCCTGCACATGCAGCACTCTGTAAGGTCATCATTTAAAACAGAATGCCTTTCCCCAGCAGTGTGCAACAAGGTGCAAAAACTGTGTCATTTTACATCATCTCTGGGCATACAGATAACTTTGTCCTTCATTAGTGTTACATTGCCATACAGACGGGTCAATGCAAGCATGTAGGTATGGTAATATGAAGCCAGTATCATGCATGTAGTACTTCTGTTATCAGGGTACAAAATTTGACATTGTTTTTAACCAGTCTGTAATGAGCCACATTTTATTGAAATTTCAGTGTAAATTGTATTTGAACTGCTGGCTGTCTTGCACTTTCTGACAGATATGGATTGTAGAAGTGCCATATCACGTATTGCTAGTATTATGAAGCTTTACCGAGATGAAACATTTTTGTTGTAGGATCTACATTCTGAAGGGCTGAATGTGACCTCTGTTCTTGTTGTAGTGGATCGTGAACAAGGAGGCAGTCACAATCTCTCTGAAAAAGGTGTTGCAATGAATAGCCTTTGTACCTTGTCCAAGGTAAGGCCCATGCACAAAAACACATATTATGTCACAGAATCAGGGTCAGATAGTTCAAAATTCAATAAAATTTCTTGAATTGGACTTTGTGGTTTGTTACTGGACATTGTGGTTGAATGGTTAGAACTTCCACTTCATATTTGACCTGAGTTCAGTTATCGGCCTGGAGGTTGGTGCTCTTTTGTCTAAATTGGAGGGTGGTGGGTGTCCAAGCTGCTCCAGGCAAATGCTGGAAGATTGTCTTAAATGAAGTCATCACTACTTAATGCTACCACATCTTCCAAATTCATCATTAATGATCTTCCTCACATTCAGTGCTTTATAATCTATATAACTGTGAAAGCATTATTAAATAAAGTAAGAAGAAACTGATTATACATCATATATTCCAATAAATGTCCTCAGAGTCAGTCATCTCAGATTGTGCTGCATGCTTGAAACATCACAGTGGTCTCTGATTTTTTGTCTTTGTAATAATGCCTCCTATTTATTTGCAACATTATAAATGATTGTCTTAATGGCAGAATAAGCTTTGATAAATAAAAATGACTTAGGTATACAGAGGGGCCCAAAAAATACTTTAATAGAGGATATTTATGGACACATCCACAGAGTTTACAGAATTATAATTTACAGTATGTGGTATAATATTCTCTCAAAAGATGGTGCTAGTCACGTCAATGCCCGAGCCACCTTATTGAATGGCAGGACAGTCAAAAAAATGGTGACAGAACAGTGTGTATACATTTTTTGGCCCCTTTGTGTTTGTATACGAATTAATATTGTGTATAATGGTATGTACTCATATAGTTGCTAATAGAATACAAATTATGTATTTTCTTTTTCATCACATTGGTTGCACTGGATAAAGATCATCAAGTGTTCAAGTGTACATTTTCAATTTTGAATTGGTGTGAAGCAAAGGACAGTTAACAAAGGTTGCACTAATGAGAAACTGTGAATATTGGAAAATGACATGCACACAATCACACACACCATACACATGCATATATACCATAATAAATGTTATTATTTACTTTGTTTGCATTCAAACACAACTTATACCATTTTACACTGAAAACTTTCTGAAATCAGGAGTTAGGAACTTATTTGAGTAGATTTCAGGCAGTATCTGAGGCAGTAGGTGTGTCCTTCATCCCTTGTTTCCTGTTTAGACAAAGGATGACACACGGTTAGACTCTTATCATCCATAAGGCATGGGGAATAGGGTGTCTCAGTTACATGGGCCTGCAAATTGCATCAGAAAAACTCATACAGAAACCCAATGCTGTACAATCTTGTAAACAGGCATATACAGTATTAAACATAAGTGAAAAAAGACAATCAAAACAAAGCACGCTGATAAGTATCTGGACACAAATGGCAAATTTTCTTTGAAGTTCTTGCCAGCTGTATGAGTATTCTAGACATGTGGATATCACATAATGAAGATCATATTATTTAAAGCTGAATTTTAGCAATTATATGTAAAATTGTAATTTACAGTAACATAATCTTTACAGATCAGGTTATTTTGTAATGATGTTTCTGTAACTTTTTTTTTAATATATTTGCATGACAAGTAGTGATAGTGAATGATGTTGGCTCCAGATACTACAAGTTCTGAAAGAAGCTGGACAAATAAACCAGGACGTAGTGGATAGTGTTAGGAAGTATATTGCAGCAAGCCAAATACACCCTGATGGCACATTCCTCACACCTCAACCACGTACAGGTACTGGTCATGTATATTTTGCAAGGGTAAAATGATGAAAATGTCAGTCTTTCCAGTCCTGTTCACCAATCCATACAGGCAAGTACTGGGAGAGTATCTTCAAGCAGACATTGCGTCCTTCCTTCCATGTCCTTAAACTTCACCATTCATGATCATCCAGTCATTAGTCATCATTTCTGTATAATCTCTCAGCTGATGAAATATAATTAAATAAATCACTTTGCATTTACATTTTACAGCTTTGATGTTCTACTTCATATAGTTTCTGTTTCGTCTTCATTTCATGGTCTAGGCTGTCAAACCTAGTGAGGCTTCACACACCTATCCAGCCTTTTCCAGAATCTTCCTTTGTCTCACTGTCCTTTTGACTTATACTGTAGAATATGTTTTGGTATTCATTTGTCAGTCATTCTGTCAAAATGGTTTATTAAATTTTGTCTATGTTCACATATTTTATTTTGTACTGCTTGTAATTTTAGTTCATTCCTATTACAGTGAAACTGCCATTCAAACTTTTCTTTGGGAACAGTGGATTGAACTCTGAACTTAGAAAAATCTTAAGTAGAGGAAATATAACACTGAGGTTACTGACCTTGGATCATTAAAATTGAGCATTAAATGAATGAAAACATCAAATCAAGGAGCATTAAAAGGATGTTCAACTGTATCTTTATTTTTTATAAAGTCTAGGCTAGTGCAACCTTTGGCTGTTCTGCTGGTTATATTAATTTTATGTCTTTTGCTGTAACTGTCCCCTTTTAATGTCTACATAGGAAAGTTGGTATTGCTGCTACTTCATTCATTCATTTATTTTTCGTTCCATGGATCCACAATACAAGTGAGATATAGGACATGTCCGTACAGTGATTATTCTTAAAATTAATAGAGCAAAAACTAAGTACATAAATAAAAAAAAGTATAAAATACAGATACAAAAACAGAAACAAATCAGAAACAAAACATGTAGAATCAAATAGATTCCAGTCATATAAGTTAATTTTGATAAAACATGCAGTTTAAATTTAGACAATGTCAGTTTGAACATATCACAGAAATTGCTTAAATGACTATAATAATACTAATAAAAAACAGGATAATCAACAGGTGATTCTAGTGAATGCATAATCACTAACTTATAATGATTTATATTGGAAATATTCATAAAATCGCAGCTGTGTTTCTTTTGTTGTTTCATCTCTAACATTCTTCTGAGTGAATGTGTTATGTAAAAAGTAAGTAAAGGTATCTCTGTAACAGGCTGTGGAGGCCCATAGGGTTGTGAAATGTTGAAGTTCCCACATTTTCTAGACAATCGGCCGCCCTTTACCCCCAAGCATATTCCTGGTACTCATTTCTGTTAGAGGCTGAGTTGACCCCTGGACCATAGTGCAGCTGGAAGGATTAGGTAAATTGAAATAAATCCACCTCATCGGGATTCAATCCTGCGACCTTCTGGCTTATAGCATAGTGCCTCAACCAAGTATGCTATTACATACCCCCAAATGTGTTATGACACTTAAATATCTAAAATGATAAATATTCTAGTAATTATTTTTACTGTAACTGGAAAGTTGGCTTTAAATGCCATAACTTTTCAAGATGATATTACTGTGACAGACGAGAATGAGACAAATCAAAGCCATAACTTTTGTTTTCTTAGTTGAAATTATCAGATCATACATTTCACCAATTTTGTATGAATTATAGGTTGAATGATGTAACTGATCCTGACTGTCTTGTATTAAAATTTGATCATCCATGAAGAGTAACACTGCTATTTAGTTTATTATTATTATTGCGATATTATTTTTATATGCTATTGATTTCTTTTGGGTTCACTCATGCACTTATTTTTGGTGAAAAATATATAAATTTCCATAAAGTCATTTCTTGGTATATAACTGTTATTGATATGTAAAGTATGTGTACTGATCCATTTCCAGAAAATGTGAATCCATCCAGATTGACTTTGCCTTTCACTGCAAGGGCAGATCAGGCAGTCAATCCAGTGGCAGCAAAACTGCTGAAAGTAATGGTGTCTAAGCAGAGCAACTTATGTGTAGCAGCTGATGTTACTAGTGCATCCAGGCTAATATCTCTGGCTGAAAGTGCAGGTCCTTATGTATGCCTTTTTAAGACTCATATAGATATTGTGGAAGATTTCTCACCTCAACTCATCCAGGACCTGCTTGCTGCAGCTCAGAAACATAATTTCCTTTTGATGGAGGATAGGTGTGTATCACATTACTTTTTTAGTTGGTTATTTAATGATGCTGTCAGTATTGAGGTGGTGTTATGCCAGGTGGTAGGAAGATTGATGAATTCGAATTTGATGTGGATGGAAGTGGTTGTGGCATAATTAAGGTTCTAATGTGGCATTTGGCTTAAAGGGCTGAACAAAACCATGTATTAATTGGGTGTAACACTTAGAAGAGTTTCTTCCATATACAGTGCTCCATGAGATCTTCAACTCCTTATGCTGATATTTTTTTAAGGTTTGTATGTTGAAGGCAAGCTGTTTCATCACCATGTATCAGTTTTCATCATCATCATCATCACAGCTTATTATTGCTGCTACTGCTACTACTGCCAAACACAGAAAGCACACAACAGAATGCTGCTCTTTTTAGCACACCCCTCAAACATGGTCACCATTTTGACTACTGAAACCAGCCTCTGAACATGTGCGTGTGCATCTGCTGCCTAAACTGTCATGAAGCTGGATTGTGCTGCTACCTGACGATATTCATAGAAAACCTATTAGATCCATTACAGCTGTTTTACTTCCATTGGTGACCTATTTACCATCTCTCCCTTGTATCTGATACTGTCATCTATTGTCAGTGTAACTTTTGTTGTCTGATAAATGCTTCTTCATTTCTAGTTTCCAAAAAATTAAAATTTTACATTACAGTAATGTGGGTGAACACTCAAGGGAATTTGTGGGAAATTTGCTAGAGTTTTGAGTTGTGTATACAAAAACTGTCCAAATTAACTTTATGGGATATTGTAATATACACTGACAGTGCTGTTTTGCTCTGCTTTTTTTTTTCTCCAGGAAATTTGCTGACATTGGCCACACTGTGAGCCTACAGTATTCACAAGGGATCCATAAAATTTCTTCTTGGGCTGATCTTGTGACTGTCCACCCAATACCAGGTGAGGGTGTGATAACAGGATTGAAGTCTGCTGTTACTAACCTTCATCGAGGCTGTTTTCTCGTTGTGGAGATGAGCTCTGCTGGGAATCTTGCATCACCCAATTATGTTGCTTGTAAGTTATGCTCCTGTTATATAAGGGCTTATGTCAGGTAAATTGAAATAAATGTTACCTGCTTTAAAATTCTTTTGTTTTCATATGCATGTGATTCCTCGTTGGTGGATCACGTGACTTTAGGCTAGTTTTAAGAGCCATTAAAATACTGAAGTGACACATCGTACATGCCAGCACATACACTATGCAATGTAATGTAGACAGATGCATGAAGTTGGCATGTCAAAATCAAGGCACTCAGTTGGATATCCAGCCACATATGAAGTCAGTTCAAGCTCATGTTATTCACTACCTCAATAATCATTGACGAGGAAAATACTGCTGAAAATTAGGCATCTGTGAAAACTAGTTTTTTCAGTTCAGGTCGTACCTGAGACATATGGTTGAAAATAGAATTGAAAACAAATACAACTAAGATAAGTAATAAGGGCCGCGCCATAGATCAATCAGTCAGTCACTGGCTTCCCACCGCGGCAGCCTGGGTCTGGTCAAGTGGGATTTATGGTGGACAAAGTGGCGCTGGGGCAGGTTTTCTCCGAGTACTTCAGTTTCCCCTGCCAATCTTCATTGCACCAATTGCTCCACAATCACCCTCACCTATTGTCTGGGGCTGGTACAATAGGCCAGAAGTGGCCGCAGTACAAGGGACTTAGTCCCACTTCACTAGCAATAAAAAAAGATAAGTAATACATTTTAACTGCATATATATTTTATTATTAGAATTGTATAATTATTTGAAGGAAGATGAGAAAGGTCTTGTAAAATATCACAAACATGTGTGATGAAGGAATGTACCGCAGCATACACATGTAAGTAGATACTTCTGTCTAGATCTTTAGAACTTCTTGCTTTATGTATTATTGCAATACACATATTCTTTAATTGCTTCAGTAAAATACTTTGTAGCGGACACATTTTACGTAGAGAATGAAAATTCATAGATAATCAAAATGTTATTGGAAGTAAAGAGAAATACTTCATATAGAGGGAGCTGGTATAGCTCAGTCGTTATAGTGATGGGCTACAGGCTGGGTGACCAAAAAATAGGGGTTTGATTACTGGCAGGTGCAAGAGATTTTTCTCTTCTCAACAGCATCCAAAATGGTCTGGAGCCTACCCAGCTTCCTGTCTAATGGGTACCAGGGACTTTTTCCCCAGGGGTAAAGCAGCAGGGACATCAAGCTGACCACTCACCTCCATTTAGTGCCAAGGTTAAGAATGGTGGAGCTATACCTCCACTCCCCCATATGTCTCCATGGTGTGGTGCTTAATTAATTATGCACAGGGAAGACTTTACCTTAGTTTTACCTTGCATCAGATAGTATTACGTTAATCCATTTATTTTCACTGGAAGTCATAAAGTTGTAATATTGCAATGTATGTTCTTGTGGAGGAGGAGATCCGATCACTTCCTACCAATCAGAATTGAGAATATAATTTCTATTTATATTGCAAAGTGCAGAACATTTCATACAGAAATTAAAGATTACTCATTTCCCTTGGGGGCACGCAGTAGCGTAGTGGTTGAGGTGCTATGCTACAAGCCAGAAGGTCACGGGTTCAAATCTCGATGAGGTCATTGAATTTTTTTTCACTTGACTTAATCCTTCCAGCTGCACTAGGCCCTGGGGTTTACTCAGCCTCTAACAGAAATGAGTACCAGGTATTAATTAAATAATTTTCTTGGGGAGTAAAGTGCAGCCGGTGCGTAAGGCTGACAACCTTACCGCCATCTTTGAGCCGATTGTCTAGATAATGTGGGACCCTCAACATCTCACAACCCTATGGGCCTTCACGGCTTGGTACAGGGATAGCTTTACTTTACGTTTACTTTACTCGTTTTCCTCTCATTCTTACATCCCCTTTTAAGAAAGTGCTTGCATTATAAATAGGTATGTTGTTACAGCCTCAATGGAAATATCTAAGAAGCATCCAGACTTTGTGGCGGGCATAGTATGTCAGACTTCCGGCACTGTTCAGAATCCTGGATTATTGCAGTTAACGCCAGGTGTAAGTTTGGACTGCCAGAATGATGGACATCTGGGACAACAGTACAACTCTCCAGAAGACATTGTAATGTCCCGAGGTGCAGATATTGCTGTTGTCGGGAGGGGCATCATACAGGCTACAGATCCTGCGCAGGCTGCTCAGGAATATCGTGCCAAACTCTGGGCTGCTTATGAGAAAAGAGTCAGTTCTGTGAAGAATGTGTAGCAGAGACTTGCACTGCAGTAAGTAAGGATGCTGCCTTGTGTTTATAAATTCCAGTTTGTATTGAGTATTACAGGTCAAAATTCCTGGTCATTCATAGGCTGTGAATTTGCTGAAATTGTCTAATGTTACATCAGAGGACCAAGCCCTAAAGACTGATATTTTAGAAGAATTGTCCCTTCTGTAACTAGTTTTATAAAGCCAGGATGGAACACAAATAAAATAAGATTGCATAATTATAAAATGTATAAAAGCTGTCCAGCTAACAAAAGACAATAAAGAGAAATACAAACATCTTGTTCATACAAATCAGAAACTCATGAAGTCATTTAATTTATTTCAAACCAGAGATACCTAAGATTACCAAGCCCAGTTGATTCAAAGCATTATTAGTAACATGAGCAATAAGACTACTCAGCAGGGACCAAAAATCATTCATAGGTTTGTTGTCATTATTAAACTTACAATTCCTGTAATTATTTAATATTTAACAAACAGTCACATTCTCCAGACTATTAAAGAACCCAGGAAAATTACATAATATAATTTGAATTCATTGCAAATAGCAGAATAGAATTTCAAGTGTTGGTTCCCCTTTCTTGCAATAGAATGTGTACATTTCTCGAGGAAGACTCCAGAATTTTATTATGAAATTGCATATAATTGTGGTTATTCTAATTGGACTCAAACAGGCAAAGGGATTCATATCAGGACCCTCTGCTAGAAGAACGAAGGACCTGTTGAAACTAAACAGAGATCAGTTAAGATGGGTGGTAGGATACTGGACACTGCCACCTAAAAAGACACCTTTTCAAACTTGGACTGACAGATGACCCAACCTGGAAAGGTGCCTACAAGAAGATGAATCACCCACAAATATCCAATGTGATTGTGAGGCCATAGCTTACGATTTTTTCACCTGGGTCAGTTCTTCATGGAACCAAGTGACTTTTATGACGCCCCCATAAATAAAGTCCTACATTTCATTCAAAGTGTAGTATTAATAAAGGGTTAACCCAAATGTGAAGCACAATAGATCATTGAAGGTCACAGTGCGAGGGCCGGATTTTATGGCTCACCCCTCGCACACATACACACACATAATTGTGATCGAGTTTGAAGGCCATCCATTCGTCCTTCCTTTCACACATCATTGATTAACTAGAATACAAATTGCAAAATGTGGTTGTTCTGTAATTTTCTTCATTATTCTGTCAGTTTCTTTTAGGTTCAAACATTCTACACAGGACTTTGTTCTCAGATGAAGAATATCAACAATTTTGTAGTTGCAGTATCAGTAACAACTGGGAAGGTGTAACAGATTTCCCGGTTAACTTCCATCTGCAGTTATGAAAGAAAATTATATGGATAGTAACGAAGTGCATATATTCTGCCACAGGTTTCTTATATAGAGTTTAAGTGTATGAGGTCTGACAAATAACTGGACTCACATTTTCAGACAGCAGTTTTCAACAGTGGTGAGTAGGAGCTTGTTGAATCAAATGATTACATGAGTCTATAGTACTGTGTTAAGCAGTCATTAGGATTATGTTTTTGTGGCCACAGTAAGTATTTTCTTGATGGAAGTTTTGTTTGTAAAGAAAGTAGGGGCATTGTTCAGACATTTCAACAGTGACTGTTGAAAGCAAATTATAATTTGGAAGAAGTGACTGGTGATGACTTGGTGGAACTTCACTGTGACCCAAGAACAAAATACCAATATTTGCAGAAGGTAAGTCCAGAATCTCCAGGACCAAGAAGTAACTGTGAATTTGGTCTTCCAAAACAAGTCACCCACGCATTCTATTTTCAGTCTTTGGACACATTCATGAGGGGCGGTGCTTTTGCCTGGAAAGTAGATTTTATGTTAGAACAGTGTACTTTCAGTAAAGCAGTTTTTTTTTAAGATACAAATTCCAGCATTCAAATATCCACCATACTTACCTGTTTTTAACTCCATATGACATCATGTTCATGAATCTAAAAATCTTAAAGGATTTTACTTTGAATCACTTGTGAAAGCTGTGTGACAATAGCAAAACGGTTTCCAGCGATGTTTTCATGCATGGCAGGGACATTTCAATGCATTTGTGAAATCAAAAGATAATCACATTCACTGGAGGTTAGTTAATACAAATATATATTTTTTATAGAATCACTCTGGGTATTTGTTATTCTCTGTTTTTGATACATGAATAGAATACTGAAAAGAATTATGTTAATGGTAGCATTTAATTATTGATGACAAATATTTCACTGCAGTGTTTAAAAATAAATGTAAGAAAGTGTCTGCTGCTCATTAATCATGAAAAAATCCTTCCACAAAGGTGGTAGTACCTTATTACAATAATAATCCACTACACAGAGACAAAAATGCAGCATAGGAATATAAGAAAAACGGTGTGAAGTACAGAAACTATATACATTTATATTTCTTTATACAAAAACATTAATAAAGGAGGGAGGTTGGCAACATTCTTTATAAAACTTAACATATACTATATATATACATATCTGTTAATACATGAATATATGTAGGTATAAAAATACTGTTTACCATTCGACAATCTTAAAGACCAGAACAGAATATTTTGTGGCAGTCTTAAAAATACAAAACAGAAATGTATGAACTGAATATATTAATAAACTCTTCTCACATTTCTTTGTTTAACTTGGAATTAAAAGAAGCAGCAAGGAAGAAGAGTGGAGCTTGAGGCATCTGAGGTTGAGTACAACATATCAGTGCTGATGGAAAAGAATGAGAAAATCCTTAAAATATGAAACAGTAAGTTGTAAATAAGCCTGCTGACAGCTGAAAATGGCAGATCTTTGTTTACTGATAATATATATGGAATAAAGCGTTACGTGATTAAGTTTCTTGCATTAAGGTTTCTGAATATGATGGTTACCTAGTTTGTTATGGTTTCTCCTTTATACTTCCTGGTGGTCAGTGGAACAGAACCTAAACTATTTTGTTCCTATAACTGTCCACACATTTGCTGTTTCCATAATCCTTGCAGTAAAGGCAAGGAATTTCAAAAGACATTTTATAAGTGTTTTATCATATTGAATAGTTCCCCCACCTCAAAAAAAGACAAGACATAGCCAACTGTACACAAACAGGAAATTTGTTCTCTTCATGCAAGGGTTAAGCTAACATTATATCTGCCTTTCTTATCTAGTAGTTTCTTTTATTTATGAATGTGAAAGCTATAACATACAGGTTTGAATTTACATTTCCTACAATATGTTACAATCAGGAAAGTTTGAATATAGTGTGAATTAAGCTAAATCATTGCAATATAAACTTCATACAGTTAAGGCTAAAAGAACAGACTGTCTTGTTTTTCCACCCAAAATCAGAATCTGCTGACAGGTTTGGACACATAAGTTAAGGAAGGAAAACTATGTAACTGGAAATTTAGTTTCATGGGATTTTAAGAGAGGAAAAAAAAAGGCATTTATTTTAAAGCTAAGCTAACACTCTGATATAAAAATAAAAACCAGGTTTCACAGACTTCTGCAAACTATGAGGAAATTGTCAACAGTTCTGTCGGAGTGGTATCTGAGTCACCTGCATTTCTGACTGATTTACTGTTTCAATCAGCAGTTTTAATCGCTGCTAAGATCTCCCTCAAACACTGTCTATGCTACTGTAAATATGAGAGAAAGGTGCTCACAGCAATGCATCCGCAGTCTTTCTAACTTGACATAATTCTTCTGTTTCCAAAAGAAGATACATTTGTCAAACAGGTTTTGTATATATCATTACCAGATTAAAATATAAAATTTAGATGCACACAACCTCACAGTTTGCAGGATGGAACATAGTCTTGAAACTGTCAGGTGCCTGAATTCTCTAAATGAACCTGCCTGGGGATTTTAATATTCTTACTACTCGTATATTACAGATTATAACAGGGAAACAAACTGATAGGAAACTTCAAAGAATCTGAAGGTATTGGCCTGCTCCAAGCTACAGTTTGCTTCATATAAACATTTTATGTACAAACAGGATTCATTCTTATATTCCTTTACATTTTGCTTAAACACAAAATCACTTCAAGCTTCTGTATAATTAGTTTCATAAGATTGAAGAATATTAATATCAGACCGTAACAGTAAAGGGTAAATCTGCTGATGCGAATTTCGTTACTAAATGTTATTCTCCTTTTGGGATAATTATCAGGGGTAAAGGACAAAGTTCATTCATTCTTCCTCCAAACAAATGTGGTATGCAGCTGCCTCCACCCTAAAAGTTAACATTACTGTCATTTGTAACTGTTGTTACTAAATTATATTATTAACACAGATATAACAGAACCTGGTGGCTCAACACCACAAATACCAAAGCCAACTGAACAAGATTCTAACCCAGTTCCATCCACTTGCCATTCTTACAACTTATCTCCTTAAGATCCAACCCACCACTTTTTGGTCTTTTAAGGGTTAAAATGAGATTTTTAAAATCACACAAGATCCTAGAGCATGGCTCATGTTAGTAATAACATTTCACATATAAATCTGAGTTTCTCTCTCTTACATTCATATTCTAAGATATATCCTGATCTAATTACGACAACAGTAACCCAAATTCTGAAAAGTATATAATCACAAATTACAAGTCCAGATGATACATGTATGTTTTTGTTCAGCAGTTACCTTCTGTTTCTTCTAACCTTTTATCAAAATATTTACATGTTTTAGTATCCTTTTTAAAATTCCTGTAACAAATGTACAGACTGATGGTGGTGATTTGCCCTTTAACTTTCATCAGCCAAATCCAAATTTTAAAATTACTAAAAGTATTATATGAGAGGCATTCCTTTCAAAGCATGCATTAATCAGTATATTTTGGGCTCATAATCTTACAGAGATTCTACAATACAAAACCAAGATGATGCATGAAGCATCACTGCCCAGTTAAGGGCCCTATGAAACATGTAAAAACATAGTGAAAATTGTTTTGTTACACTGAATATTTAGTGACCTAGAGTATTTTTGCCTTAAGTGCAGTTACACTGAAACATAATAGCATTTTCCTTCACAAAGAAACATGAAATCACAATTCTGTTACTCATCTCACAAAACATTCTTACGATCTCTTGCCAAGGAGTATATTGAGTGACTCATAAAAGTTACTGGCAAGATTTTACTTTCTGGTTCCTGTCAATTCTGATAAATTTTATTCTACATATGACTGCAGTGTTAAGAATCCATGATACAAAATAAGGCAAGAGAAGAAAGCAAAATACTCATAATGCAGTCAGTTCATTAACTGTCTTCAAGTCCACAGTCTAGCATTGCTGTTTATTCTTTGCTTATTCCCACAATTTGACTATTAAAATTACAGAAATAAATAAAAATTCCTGTTCACCTTATTTTGTATGTGATGTCTACAAGCGCTGTGAGCACATAAGCAATAATTTCTTTTACCACTGATTGGTATGCACTGCAAAGGAACAAAATTTGGTACATAAGCAAAAAGTAAAGTAAAGCTGTCCCTGTACCAGGCCATGAAGGCCCATACGGTTGTGAAATGTTGAAGGTCCCACATTATCTAGACAATCGGCTCAAAGATGGTGGTGAGGTTGTCAGCCTTACACGCCGGCTGCGCTTTACTCCCCAGGAAAATTATTATTTAATTCTTGGTACTCATTTCTGTTAGAGGCTGAGTAAACCCCAGGGCCTAGTGTGGCTGGAAGGATTAGGTCAACTGAAAAAAATCCAATGACCTCATCAGGATTTGAACCCGCGACCTTCCAGCTTGAGTATTATATTTTCTTGAACAAACTACCGTCATCATTGAAATTAATAGGCATGGTTCCTTTGCAAACTGACTGACTGACACTAAATTCTTTATATTCAATAACTAACCAGATTAAATTAGTACATATCTGTACATACAAGTGACAATGGGCCTTGACTGCTTAAATATAATGAATTTACATATTCAATATTACAGCAGATGTTAGAGGAATTGAAATTTTTACAAGTATTAAAGATAATCTGAAATATACATTACAAGGGAAAAATACCTACCTCCATGCTACATTCCGAATGTTTCAGTATGTATTAATCAATTCACTTTTATGGGATTGCTTAACTTTGCAATACACTTTCTAACAGAGTAGTCACCAATATGGAGAAGCTTCATGATCACTGCTGTGTTCAAGACGATAAGATAGGAAGGGTAACACCTCCAGGCATGAGTGTAACACCTGTTATACCAGAGGGAGAAGCCAGAGATCCCAGTGGCCCTATGCCTTGTTGATTGCTACCTACTCCATTTTGTGTTGCTTTCTGACCCATAAGCTCTGCACGCAGACGTTTTGCAATGTGACTTTGGGCATGTTTGCGTAGGTGATCTTTACGGTAGAAACCTTTCCCACACTCTGTGCAGACCTGTGTTTTGTCACCTGAATGGATCACAAAGTGGCGTGATAGGTGTTCATTGCGCTTAAATGCCTTGAAGCAGACAGAGCAGGTATATGGGCGCTCTGAGTTATGACCCTGTTTGTGCCTGTCAAGATGTTCTTTGCGTTTCAGGCCTGCTCCACAGATGTTGCACACAAAACGACGCTCCAGACGATGAACTACCAAATGTTGCTCTAATAGCTCTCTCTCTGGGTATGCCATATGGCATTCAGGACAACAGTATAGTGTTGAGCCATCCAATGCTGTTGTAAGACGGACCTCACCTGGCCTGGGCCGTGGCGGACGTGGAATGTATGGCTTCTTTTTATATTTTCTCTTTTTCTTCTTTTTTGTCAACAATATGCCATCTTCTTCACGTTTTATCCCTGAACCTGAAGTAGGCATTGGAATGGCAGACAGCTCAGTAGTTGCTGTTGTTGAGAACTTGAGGAAATGATGGAGTGTTAGAGGAAGAGTTGAGGCAGACAACTGAGACAGGTACTCAGCAACAGTGGATCCTGGTGGACCAGCTAAACTTTGCCAAGTGGCAGGTGATTGGATCATTGCTGCAATGGAATATGAAGGTTTGCAATCCAGCTGAGGCACACTGCTACCAAAGAACCCATCACTGGTGTGGGTTTCCTTTTCTGTCATGGTTGAAGCATCGACTTTCTGAGGCATGAGGCTATGCATGTTATAGGGCTGTCGAACTTCACTGTTCCTCTGTGATGTACCTCCAGAATATGTGTGCACACAAGAGTTCTCCTGTTGATTTGCTGTCCTTGTGTCATTTGGTTGTGACTTTGCATCTAGAGGAGTGTTAAATTGAGTAGACTGAGAATTCGCACCTGTGCAATGGTAATGCACACTGCCGCTGCCCATAACAACCACGCTTTCACCACTGTTGCTTGCAACATATTGTTGCTGTTGCTGTTGTTGCTGGACGGGAGCAACTTCCTCATGATGGTAAGACTGCTGCGTTCCACCTACATACTGTGGGACATTCATATTTCTTGAATCATTATTTTATGAACATATATAAAGCAGTGCAACTTAATTCTTGGTAACAATATTCGCATATTAAATTGGTTTATTCCCAGTTGCCGAAAAAGCGATTCATGGTGAAGAATGATACTCGTATACGCCATATTATAACAGTCAGTTTATTACTTCCGACAATTATATTGGCTACACCCAAATTTAAGAATTAAAACTCTATATTGCTCACGTCAACCGAAGACCGCTGCCAAATTTTGTGGGTATAAACACGCCCAGTTTGACAACTGATCGTAAAATTCGTGTAACGCTTTCTACAATGTTTTTGTTTTCTTCCCGCCATCTTGTAAGAGACAGAAGAAGTTAATTGCACCGAAGATGTGCGATGATAAAAATGTATCGCCTTACAAATTCACGATGTTGTTATACTGTATATCAGAATTGTTCAAAATTTATCATCATGTAATAAACCTGCAATTATCTACATCCCATAGTTTCAAGCATACACTACGGATTGGAGGGGTGGAACAAGCGTTGACCAATCGCATGATGCCAATAGGAGGCACATTTATCGGCGCATTGCTTGAAAATAATACTACAACGAACAGATAAAGCCGGGCATACTATATACTTATAAATTAGAATTGTTGCCATTTTCCCGATTCCGGTGCAAAAATGTAATTCAGAACTTATCAATAATTTAGCCTACTTTAAATTCAATACTAACGGAAATACTACTTTCTTCACACTGAAACTTTCATAAATATATTGGGCTAACGAACTCGCACATGTCGAGAAGTTGTTTTCTCTTCAATATCAACTTTCCAACTGTCCTAGTATGTATACTCTTGTACCTGATTTATCCTAAATTGGGCTACATTTTACCTAGTATTCTAATTACATAACTCCTATTTCATGATTTATTTTCATAATTACAACATATTTCAAATATGAAAACAGAGAGATCTCCTTCCTTTTCAACGGTGTTAACTATTCAAACTGCCTTAACTTAATTCATATTTCCTTTAGAACTGCACTTCAAGGCATGACCATGTATGGCCTGGTTTACTATCATAAAACAAACGAGTAGACTTCTGGAATGTGGCATCATGCTATCATGACCACAAAGTGACACATACAAGAAGACCACATTCTTCAGTCATCACTAAGAGAATCTCAGATCCCACAGAATTCTTCGTATTTAAAAATCACAGGCTATCTGGCAAGTACCTACAGTCATTCATATACGTCAGTTACTCTAGATCCCCTTAACTTACAAACCTCCTGTTCTATGTACTAATAACAAATGTTTGCTTAATCAATTGGTATTGGATTTAAAAAAAAAATAGTAAACTGACACATTCAACTGTTTCCAATACAGACTTTAATTATTAATACATAAGCAACACTGGGATGTGTAGTCCATAAAGATTGCAGCCTATAAACAACAATTTTTTTTTTTCAAAATTATTTCACAAGTTGAAACATACCAATGACATTCACACAGGAAAGTAAGCACTCTGTAGACAAGAGAGGAAAAGCATAATAACATTTACAATATGTCAGTCGGAGTGTTTTGTACTATCTCAAGGAATTTTTATACGTCACTGTATATATTATCACTGGTAAGACTACATTCCGAGACTCAACCCTCTTGTAATCCATAATCTGCTGCCCAGCCATGCTGGCTAAATAAAGGAGACTCGGTAGTTTTGGTATAAAGCAGATATACATAATATTGCATTGCATGCAAGGGATTGCTTCCTTTCCCTTTAGACAAAACTGATGTATTTGTGGGCAAGGATAAATTGGCACCATGATGGCAGGATTGTACATTTCCCTTTTGGCTGACATTTTCTGTTTTAGTTCTAACATGACTCACATATTTTGCCTCTATAAAAATTCAACCATCAAAATGTCCACTTTCTCTCCAGTCCAACTTGTGACGCATACATTGTTCATTAAACAGCTTAAAACCAGATCTTAAGCTCTAGAAATGATGGCCTCTTACTAACATTTACTAAAAAATAATACTTTTAACCTAGAGGGGAAAACTATCATATTCAGAAAAGTGCATTGGTAATAGCAATGCAACATGAACATGCATTTTCCCTCCAGAAAAAAATAAATTACATATTCTCTTCGAAGGTCATGATAGTTCTAAAAAATGTTCCATGAGTATTTGTATCCTCTTCTCTGTATAGGTGAGACATGAGGTAACCTGAATACATTATCTTGGCTTTAAAAAATGCTATTTGCATTTACAACTTCTGCTGACAAAAAAATATAACCACACTAGGCCTACTGCACTATAAAATGGCACAATGTAACTTAAAAAAAATCACTTACAAAACTAATTAGGTAATCTTTCACAACCAACATTCCAAAAAAAATCACTTCAATATTATACTGGACTGTCCTGTAAAGACTTCTGGGGTAACTTTATCATACCCTTATTACTTACTTAAAATTGTTCATATTACCTTCATACACTATAAATTGATTAATGTCCCTTTCTTCTTCACCGGAAATCCATATTTCACTAAGGAGTGGCCACTGGCCAACTAATATCTCACCTGCTCCTGTAATCCAAAATGATGCAGTATGCATGTACAACATACTGTCGACAAATATCACCACAGAGCTTTCCCTTGTGTTTCTGCAGCAGATGCCCACTGTACAAGATCAACTTGCTAGTTTGAATCATACTGATTTTTGAAATCCTTCTGTTTCAGCAAACACTGCAACTGCCATCTTCAGGGTAAATGTCATGAATAGGAAAAGCAATGGTATGTATACATCTGAGCAAAGGAGAAAGTGATTGTTTAGAGAGGTGTCTTGGTTGCTAGCCAATACAATGGATTCTGCAGCTTCGAACGAAGAGAAAAAGAAAGTAAACTCACTCTGTATTCATCTTCTTAGTTAATGTTAGTTGCATGGTGATTACTTTTATGCCAGACAATAGCTAGAGATGCAGGATTTGAAGTTCTCACAGCAAAGGTTACTAGCAATACTATTTTCTGGGACATAAATGCTATGTACTCTGTTGACAGTCAACGGACATTTTGGAGGAACATATTGCCTTCATCTTCCTGGTCGAATAAACCGAGCAAAATGCCAGAATGAACGCAGGTGTCAAGCCTGCTGTATGTGGCAGCTATGGATCCTTTAATGATTCAAGACAGGACACCACAAAGACCATTAATGGTACTGAATTTAACAAAATATAAACCACAGTAAACATCCACAAACACTGTCCCTACATCATCTGGGGGAGGAAGAAAAATGTAGTTATAACTGTACTTCATTATGTAAATGAAGGCAAATGGGGGAGTGGAGATACAGCTCCACCGTTCTTGACCATGGCACTAGATGGCAGTGAGCGGCCAGCTTCACACCGCTGGTACCCACTGGACAGAAGGCTGGGTGGGCCCCAGAACCAGTCTGGACAATATGGAGAAAAGAATTATCTCTTGCCCTCTGCCTGGTCATCCAGCCAACAACAGCCTCATCACTGTACTGAGCTAACCTGGCTCAATCACAGAAGCCATTAAAATAATAAGACACCAAACAGCACTAACCATAAAGACAAACAGGTATTCATCATATGCCAGTTCAAAAAATGAAATTCATTTTAATGTGCTCCAATGATTTGGACTGATATCAATCAATAGCAACTGCCTTAATCCAAATTGCTTGCTAGCTGATTAGGAGGGGAGTAGAGCATTGTGAGGGTTCTGAGATGTCGAGGCTCCCACATTTTCTAGACAATCAGCTCACAGATGGAAGTAAGGTTGTCAGCCTTACGTGCCGACCACCCTTTACCCCCCCAGAATGATTCCTGGTACTCATTTCTGTTAGGGGCTGAGTTGGCCTCAGGGCCATAGTCCAGCTGGAAGGATCAGGTCAACTGAAAAATTCCAGCTCATCGGGACTTGAACCCGCAACCTTCTAACTTGCAGCATAGTGCCTCAATCAACTATACTACCACGTGTCCCAGAGGATATTATGTTTTATGCAATTTCACCCTCTGTTAACTCCTTTTTAGATACAACTGCCATATAAATCAAGGACTATGTGTACAGACTGGGTAAAGTCTGAAGTGAAACTGCTTCTTCTGTTCCCTCCCACCTCCATGAACCAGCCCAGTGGCTAGTATCGAGGTCACTATGTTAAACAACCACTACTTATCTTCCCTCATGAGACCTAAATATTCCATTGCTCTTTTCTTATCCATTACATTAACCTTGAAGATGGTAACTGCAATGTTTGCCAAAACGTTCAAGGTCTTTAACAATCAACATTAAATGTTATACCCATCACTTGACTTTGACATATTCCAGTTCGTCTTTAAGAGCTTTCACTATTATCTGCAGACATTTTTTATCATTGAAACACACTTTTCTGTCAATTTCCACAAGACACTAGCATAAAGAAATCTGACTTTCCTGTCTTTGATTATTTTTATATTACAATACCTAATCATGCATCAACTTCAAATGTGAAGTCTGCTGCTACTGCTAGCTACGCTGTGGCAAAGCATAAATGTTCAGAACGCATCCTTGGCTGCGGATACGAACGCCAGGAGATCCGAGTTAAGGAGGCTGGGAACATTGGCATAGTTCCCATTGGCCGCCATTCAGGAGAGTAATGGCGGAGGTGGTGGTTGCTCTGCGGAGACGGTGGCCACTTGATGCTGCTGTGGAGTAGGGGGATGCTGGGGTTGTGGCGCATGCTGACTCAGCTCTGCCTTCACCCTACGAGCAATATGACTGCGTGTATGCTTACGTAGGTGGTCCTTGCGGTAGAATCCCTTCCCACACTCGGTGCACACATGACGTTTCTCTCCGGAGTGAATCACAAAATGCAGGGTCAGTTGTTCCTTTCGTTTAAATGCTTTAAGACAAACTGTGCACACATACGGCCTTTCCGGGTTGTGGCTTTGCTTATGGCGTGTTAGATGATCCTTTCGCTTGAGGCCTGCCCCACAGATGTCACACACAAAGCGGCGCTCCAATGTGTGTCCTAACAAATGTTGTTCCAGTAACTCTTTTTCTGGATATGCCATGTGACATTCAGGGCAACAATACAAAGTTGAGCCATCTAAAGCGGTTGTGAGGCGAATCTCACCTGGTTTTGGTCGAGGCTTCTTTTCCTTGCTTGCCTTCTTCTTTTTCTTCTTCTTTGCAACACCAGGCACTCCAGGAGCGCCCCCTACCACACCAGGTGTTGTTGTACTGGCAACCCCAATGGCAGGACCACCCCCAACATTGACCGCCATCTCCGTTTCTTTCTTGATGTTTTCAGCAGAGTACTTGAGGAAGTGATGGAGGCTAAGTGGAAGAGTGGAGGCTGGCAGGTGGGACAGGTAGTCAGCCACAGTAGATCCCGGGGCAGCCAAACTCTGCCAGGTGGCAGGCATGGTAGCTGTAGTCTGGGTAGCATGATGATGTTGGTGGTGATGGTGATGAAGTGCCATAGAGCCACTGTACTCAGCCTCATTGGATCCTGGTCTTCCTCCATCATCCTTTTCACCACCTGCTTCCTCACGTTTCATGTCCTTTTCCTTCTCTGCAGCTGCTGCTGCTGCAGCAACAGCAGCGTTCTCCCGCATCATGGCTGCACATAAGTCCTGCGGTTGCATGTCACTCACATGATACACTCCACGCTTGTTGCCTTGCTGCTGACCGTCCTGTATGGATGGTGATGAGGTAGGTCGGCTTTGCTGTTGTTGTTGCTGCTGTTGCTGTTGTTGTTGTTGAACTGCTCCTGCCTGGCTGTACGGGATGCCAACATTCCCACTATAATGATGAGTTCCTGTCAAATTGGTTCCTGGATGGTATTTGGAGGAGTTTGGATTCATCATATTGATCTGAGGCTGGCCTCCACCACCAGGAGGATTGTTCCCACCATCTCCTCGGTTATACTTGCCCATGTTTACTGGCATCCCAATAGGGGGATGATGCTGATTAAAATGAGCTGGTCCAGGACTAGTGTGATAACGAGCTCCTGCCCCTCCTCCATCGCCAACTGCCTGTGGTGGCAGGCCCCCTCCACTCCCATCATGAGTGAATTTTGCAGCAAACTGATGAATGGTGGGTATGGATGCTGGGAAGTGACCTCCAAATGGTGAGAAATTCATACTTGCAATTCGTTAATTCTAAGATGTCTTGTATTTCTTGAAGGAGCCTGTAAATTAATCTCCACCACTAAACCTGAAACAGACATTGCACATCATGTCGAAGATTGAAATTATGGGGAATCACAACATTAATAAATAACCGAAGCAACATCCTACACACATTTCATTATGATTTTATATTTTATGTCTCACTGCATTATTCCAGTCCGGTTTTGGCGGCTCTAATCCATTTCATATACTAATGTAATGCGAATTATTCTTGTAATGTTATCATTCGTTTATTTCCGCTTTCATTTGCATGCCACAGAAGTACCACTGTTCGATAATGCTACAAATTTCCAGTAATATATTTTTCGACAGGCGTCCATGGCCCGCGCATTAGGGGTACAAGATGGGTTCACAATGGACCTCTTTCGAAATATAGTGCCGAAATCTAGTGATGACTCCCTCTAGCAGAGCCGGCATGTAATCACTAGGAACACATTCTAAAACACAAGTGAAGTACGTAGGCAGGTTAAAGGAAGCACAGGTACTTACTGCTTCAAGTTTTGTTGTTCTCATTACGTTTTATTTCCCATAAATAAGCGTCTTTGACAGAAAATATAAACACCTGCTGTGCGGAGCGATGCTCGTTTGTTCTAACGCTTCCATGTTTTCCTGACCTCTATACACAGTTTACCTAACTACAACATCAACGGATCCAAGGAAGCGGTAAAATTAAACTAAAAGTTAAAACTGAATTCTTATCCACCTCCGCACGGATTTATGATAAAGGAACGTCCTTTTACAATGCTTTACACTGTGACATACTGATTAGGTTCACAACCTTTTACAGTTATTGTTCAAAAGACCCAGGTTTAGTTATTTTTTGCTTCAGTATACAGAAATGACTTAGAGACTAAGCCCATAATAGGAATCACTTTATAGCCATAAGTTAATTTATCGCTCTAAGAATTCGTCGTTTCTCATGTCTATCCTTCTTCATGAATAAATTAATCACAAATGTCAGATAACATCCATAATATTCACATACTTCACCACAACATGACTATGTATTTTCAAGTTGGATTTGTGGTTCCCATAGCTGTAGGTATGAATAGTACATTGTCATGTAGCCCAATGAAATTCAACCGAAGATCCGAAGTAACATGTCACTTCAATTTTCATGATTGAAAAGTGAAATCAGAAACCAGCATGAAGCAGAATGCAAGCAGAGCACTCTGCTACATTCCTCTAAAATGTTGGTCAACTTCCATTGGTCTATGTAGTTCAACAATTCAGGCAACAGAATTCTTCCTCTGAATTTCCAAGAATATGCAAAGAACCTTGGTACATTTCTTCTAATACATCTAATAGCATGACATTTCTGTTTACCACTAATTCTCTGCAAGTGAGCTGTTATTAAGGCATGGTGTTTCCAGTGTTTAATCTGTTTTAAGATTGCAACTCCACCTTGGACCATGATGTATACTTCTAATTTCCATCACCACTTTGGAGATTACACAAACTGATTCTACAGTGCTGGAAAATGTCATTACCAAGAAGGTAATAATAATGATACTGAGCAACAGATATTCATATTAAATTTAATTTCATTGTTTCAGTTCAATCATTGATACATATACAAGTATCAAAACACTGATCTACTTACTGTCTTTAGGTTATATAACAAACACTGAAGCTTTCAGCATGCATATTCTAAGCTGTGGTGGCTGGTCATTTCACCATGGTTCCAGCCAGAATTCCAGGTCATAAAAGCTCTTATGAAAATAAATAGGAATAAATACTTAGTTCTTTCATGATTCAAAGCTTATTTTATAGATAGATCTGTAAGACATTCTACACTTTATATTAATTTATTACAAAAGTTCACAATATGAGACAGTAATGCAAAAATAAACAAACCTTCTCAAACCTTCTATTTATGTAGCGAATCATTAAAATTATGTTACATTTAAAATTTTGCAGCAACGTTTGGTCATATACATAGAAGTTTGACTTTTATGGTTTTAGTTTGAAAGTTCTTTCCAAACTTAATTACAGATAAATGACTGAAAACCTGCATTTACTTGAAATACAAGTTTGAAGGACGATATTTCTTTACAGACAACAGGCTGATTCCATTTCAACTGGAATCAATTCAGGAAATAAATAATATAAGTAGAAGAATTTTAAATGGAATATGAATCATGCCCACATTGTGTATTAAACTTTAACTGGATACAGCAAAAAGAATCTGAGAGCTCCCTTCCATTGAGTTCTCATACCTGATTACAGTTATGAAACTCCTGATCTCAGAGGCTGTTTTCACAGTGTCTGTGTACGACTTCAAATACTTAGGTATGCAAGACATATCTCACTTGATATGTTACACTATACTGGCAAAAAGAACCTTCCAAATGACCCTAGGACTTTATCCAAAGCTCCTTTTCACAGATAGACTTGAAAGGATTCTGACAATGGTGTATATTGTACTTCTTTTGGCTTATTTTGGAATTCATCCATCATCTGGTATGTAAAAGACGAAAGACCACGACGTTTCGGAGACTGGATCTGTCTCCGTCTTCAGGTGGGTAGGGAAGGATAAACCTACTCAGTTGGGCCCGTTAGAAAGAGCTAGTCTCAATCACTGGACCCAACTGAGTAGAGATATTGGGTTTTCGGACTTTATCCATCGTCCTGGTTTTTAAGATAACTAAGAAAAAACATGTTTTGGAAACTGGATCAATCCAGTGATTGATGCTAGCTCTTTCTAAGACACAACATAATAGGTGTTTTCCCTCACCTCAGGACGGAAACAGATCCAGTTTCCAAAATGTCATGCTTTTTTCTGTTATCTTAAAAACCAGAACGATGAATAAAGTCCGAAAACCCAATATCTCTACTCAGTTGGGTCCAGTGATTGAGACTAGCTCTTTCTAACGGGCCCAACTGAGTAGGTTTATCCTTCCCTACCCACCTGAAGACGGAAACAGATCCAGTCTCCGAAACGTGATGGCCTTTTGTCTTTTACATACCAGACGATAGATGAAGTCCAAAATAAGCCAGAAGTACGCCTTTTTACAGTGTCGAATCAACAAGCTGTTTTAGTATTTAAAACTTATATTACTTGTTTTTATAATAATGCTTCGGAAATAAGTATGATTATTTGTTAATTAAAATTCTATATCACTTTAAACAATCTCCACAAAATATCTGAGTTTGCGGTTACTGAAAAATGAGAGCCCTATCTACGGATATATCTATGTCTCATTATCACAGTAATGTCCTACAAATCACAAACCAAATGAACACAAGTTATTATACCCTCCAAAACCTATGACATTCCATGAATGATTCGCATTAATTTTGTACAGAATATGAGAAACAAAAACAGAAATTTTATGCAAGCATATCCTTCTTTTAATGCAAAGTTTCATAGCACCAGTTTTTGATCAAACTGCATTTTGGTTTCAAAATACTGAAAATAAACCTTAGCTTAATAACTGTTATCCTTCTAGTCTGATAACGCAACTTTTGGAACGAAATCAACATGAATACGAGAACAGTTGAAAGAACAGAACACTTACCCCCAGCAAGTATTCAAAAAACCATACACTGGAAGAAAAACATACATTGCAGATTTCATGATGATGATGTCACATAGAAAATCATGAGAGAGCAGCTGTACATAATAACTGCAGAATGTAGGAGATAAATCTTCAAAGACAGTTTATAATTGCGTGCAAGAGATGATGGAAGGAAACAGCTTTCACAATGTGAATCAATATATTCCTACTGGTTCTAATTTTGTAATTGATCTGTCCCATTTCATCTTGCTTGTATCATAAGCACACATTTCTACTTTTCTCCATCTTCAAATATAAAATAAACATATAAGAGCACTAGGAATATTTGTAAAAAAAAATATTTACATTTTAAACCTATATATGAAAACATATTTTGAAATAATCTGTCATGATCAGGTTTTATATTTATGGAAATAAAGTTCAGAAGTATTATGAAATCAAGCAAATTGGCTCAAGCAGTAATCCTTCTGACTTGTATTCTGAAGGGACCCAGCTAAGAACTAGGACCTTTATTATCCTGACCGAGATTCTTGTGGTTTCCTCCGTACCTCCACAGAAATGTCTGGATAGTACCTTAAATTAGGCTAAGAGCACTTCCTTCCACATCCCTTCCAAACCATCATTCGCTAACAGCCATCATTTGTCGCTATAGTCCGAGTTATGACACTATCATTAGATAAACTACAAGTAAACGTCAAATTTTTTCTTTTGTAATGATGGTCAGTTCTTGGGCTCCTTAGACTTGCCAAGAAGAAATATAGAGTACTGGTTCTTTTCTAGTGAATGCATGCAATTTTAAATTATTAATTTGTACCAATTTTTGATCAAAGACTTTCTCAACTTCTAATGGAAATACCTCATATTGGTTCTTGGTATGACTAAATCCGTCCAGTTGTTTTGGCAAACATTATAGTTCAAAGCCTCATAACGAAGGTGCAAGCTATAACGTCTGTTGAATACTTGATACATTTCAGTATGTAACAGGACTCCAGCCCGTGACTCATAACTATGTATATTTTAACAGATCTATGCATCTTACATCCAAATTAGAATTGGTATAGTGTATTTTTTAGATGTCTGACAAAAAAAAAGTATTATTTCCCAATACTGGATGCAAAAAAATATAACCAGGTGCCCAAAGATATAAAGATCCATATTGTTTTATATAAATGTAGCGTAAATTTTCAAATTTCAGTTATATTTGTATATGTAAATTCAATAGTATGTATAAAATGGGCAGTTTGAATGATAATTCTTTTGTCATAAGACTGCCTTCTTTCGTTGAGAGTATTCTAAAACATCTTTAAACTCATCTGCAAAATAATTCTGTACAAATAGCGCAGTTCTGAGAAGAAGCCATGATGGCCATACAGAAAGCCAAGTACAGATCCTGCATGGCTGACATGTTGTTTTTACAATATTAAAAATCCTAAGATTTTGATACTCTTTTAAGATCTTTTACCAAACAAGATTTCAGGACCCTATATTAGGTTCTAAGAGCCACTCACATGTCAGACATCTGTATGACTGCCATGTTGGTAAAAAATTTGGAAGTATGAAGTATGGCACGACAGTCATATCAAACCTCATGAATACCTGTCAACGGGATAGAAAAGTTGTCATTAAATTGGGAAACAGGGGAAGTACTCAAAATAAGAATCGTTCATCAAGTTCATCATTTATTCCCCACAACTGGAGCACTTAATAATAACTTAAATAGCTGAGTGAGTCATTTGTCAGGCATGTCACAAGGTACCAGCATGTCTATTTGACAAACTAATTCCTTCCACCTACCAGGTTACTTTCATGTCAAGTGACACACAAAGATGCTGAAATTGTAAGACTTCCCTCTCAGGACCAATACCATGTGTCTAAAAAAATTATTATACAAAGAAGGGTGTTAGGATTTTTTAAAACTTTTTATCTTTTTATAAATAAGTTAGACACACACACGTAGAAAGTTTTGTTAGTTTTATACAGAGAGTATGGTAAAAAAAATCACCAAGCTGATGTTACCTTTTTATGGCATACAGCTTTGTTAACACCATTTTTGTAAAATCTTCCCTTATTCATAAAATGTCTAGTCCTTGGATTTCAAAGTCAAAATGTGCAACACTCCAACATAACTTCTCTGCTCCATATAACCAACTAGTGCTGCACATGTCCTATCCATTTCTTATGTAACAACCATTATAATTCACATTTCAACACCAATCATTTGAAATGACATACTCAAAAAAAAAAAAACTTTGAATCTAATAGTCTATGTATTTGTATATATAATATATAAATAATATTTGTAAGGCCGAAGCTCAGGCATCAACTGGCCAGAAATAAACCTGCAGAAGGTTATTTCTTATGCACAATGACAATGTCTTCTTCGGTCAGTGTAAGATATTGACAATCATTCCATTCTGAGCACTGACATCAACTATGTCCAAAATAAGATCTGTTCCATATTTTCTTCATATGCAATTACATACCTACAACAGTTTATCAACAATGGAGAAGTTTTACAATGATTTACATAAAGGCACAAACGAACTAACAAATATAAACATTTTCCTCTTCCCTGCAATTCATGACATGCATGTTAACTGTCCTGGAATGTCGAGTAATTGTGAATAACGGCATTGTGACATATCCAAAATAATGTTCAATCATACAGTATACCTAACTTCCAGTATACTTAACATAATAATACAGACATAGGAATCTTCACAGAATTATTTAAGACAACTTCTTTGTAGATGTGACTTGTCTGGTATGTAATTAATAACTGTTCACTCTGATGTGACAGAGTGAGAGCATCAGAAAATAAGTGAACAGATCCCCTTTTACTGTGACACTTTTGGTTTGAAAGCTAAGATTTGTGTTGCTGTGATGCTGTTAACATCTGTAAACCTCTGAAAATGGATATATTATTCTTACATTGTTCAAGTGCAGTTCTTTAAAAAACTACAGTATTATTAAGCCAATACCCTAACCATTCTGGGTGACAGTTTCAAAGTCAATACCATTTCATTTTTTCAAATATGCAAGTTATTGGATTATGATCACCAAAAACCCTTGCCCAAAACAAGGTCTCTCATTTGAACCACTTCATAAAACTTCAGTATCATCAACTGTTTATAATGCTTTGGTTTTTTCACCTCATGCAATTGCACTCTAAAGTATAAATAACTAATCCTGCTTCATGTAACCTCTGACACAAGAGTTTGGTTCTGGCCAATTAGCACCACTGGTCCAGCATGTTCAGTGGTGATGCTGTAGCATCATCGCTCCAGTCTCAGCAGCAGTTGGCAGCACTACTGTTGTCACCATGGTGGCAGCAGCAGCAGCAACTGCAGCCTGCTGATGATGTTGCTGCTGATTGTTCATTTCTTCTTTCACGCGTTTTGCAATATGGCTACGGGCATGTTTTCGCAAGTGGTCCTTGCGGTAAAAGCCCTTCCCACACTCTGTGCACACCTCTGTTTTTTCACCCGAGTGGATCACAAAGTGCAGGTTCAAGTGCTCTTTACGTTTGAAACCTTTATGACACACCGTGCAGATGAACGGTCGGTCAGGGTTGTGGCCAAGTTTGTGCCTCTCAAGGTGCTCCTTGCGTTTCAGGCCAGCCCCACAGATATCGCAGATGAACCTTCGCTCAATCTTGTGGCCTACCAGATGTTGTTCCAACAGTTCCTTCTCAGGATATGCCATATGACACTCTGGACAACAGAACAGTGTAGTGCCATCAAGTGCTGTTGCAATGTGGACTTGCCCTGGCCGCGGTCGTCGTGGCTTGGGAGGTTTCTTCTTGTATTTTTTCTTCTTCTTAGGTTTTGCTCCAGCTGCCCCTACTCCTTGAGCCACAGCCAATGTTCCATCTGCATTTGTGGAACTGGCATCCACCAGTTCTGGATTAGACAGTGGAGAAGATTCTATTGCAGCTTCACGTTTGATAGTTTCAGCTGAAAACTTCAAGAAGTGATGAAGGCTAAGGGGCAGGGTAGACGCAGGTAGGCGCGAAAGGTAGTCAGCCACAGTGGAGCCTGGGGCTGCTAGACTTTGCCAGGTTGCGGGCATTGTGGTCACTGTTCCTCCTGGTGTATGCTGTGAACCATTATAATCCTCATCCCCCTGAGCTTCCTTATCACCTTCAGTTTTTACAATTGCCATCTGCAAAGTGTTATCCTTGCCTCCTGTCCCATCATGTTGAGGAGACTTTGCAGCAGCCAATTCGACAGCTGCCACCGCATCTCGTAGGATAAGATCCTGTGGCTGCAATGCTACTACTGTAACAGGAAATGTCTGTTGATGTTGATCATGTTTATCCCCTGCAGTTACAGTTATAGTCTGATGCTGTGCCTGCTGTGTCTGGTGAAGTGAAACTTGTGTCTGCTGATTCTGTGTGTTGCCATTATTATTGTTGTTACTGCTGCTGCTATTATTATTGGAGATATCCTGAGACTGTGGTGAGCTGTTTGAGGCTTGAGACACCTGTATCTGTGGATGTTGAACTTGCAGCTGCACTGTTTCTGCACCAGCCTGCTGCTGTCCACTGTATGCCACTGTCAAAACACCCTGTGGGAAGTGATGCAGCGACAGCGGGGAAATGTGATACTTGGGAGCACCATTGTTTGCAGTACCATTGCTAGCTATTGTGGTTGCATTGGGATTCACAACCTGAATCTGCACAGTCTGCTGTGGCTGACCTGGCTCACCAGGTTTGCCTCCTATACTGATGGGCAATGTAATGAGTGCCTGTTGTACCTGAGGATGTTGATTGTTGCCTGTGCCTTGAGCTGTTGCCACAGTGAAACCGTTGGGGTCAACTTGGCGAATATACTGTACAGCTCCATCTCCTCCACCAATAACACTCAACATTTGTCCCCCAGCATTGTGTGCAAACTTTGCTGTACCAAACTGATGAATGGTGGCTGTGGGTATGGTGCCAGGAGGAAAGTGCCCTCCAAATGTGGTGAAATTCATGGTCCGTGAGGGGGTTGTGGCCACTAATTTCAATCAGGAGCCCCTGAAATGTTCATAAAACTTAAACAGACTCTATGAATTTTAGATAATATATCAATTTTGACAACAGTGACCTCATTTATTCTCATTTCCTGATACAAGTAACCAATGTTGCTCTATTAAGGCTACATACATTCCAAATAATTGAGCAAAAACGCTAGTAAAACTTGAACAACATTATGTAGCACAATATCTTTAGAATAAAGGTCAGATATATGAAATTGGTTCAACTTCCTTACTCATAGTTCTGCAGTATCCTGGATCATGGAGACCTACTTACCTCAAATTAAGTGGCACTCTCTCATTTCATTGTTGTACGCTCCAATAACGTCATCTATGAAGACGGAAAATACAAATTATTAGCCTTCTTTTAACATTTGACCACATACTTTCTAGAATATATGCTATCTAAGTAGCGGATACAATTTTTTACTCATTATGGCAATTTAATCCGTTGTCTCCCAAAATAAGGTCACAAGATGGCATTAAAATCCATCACTAAATACTACGAGAAATGTTAGTTGTTCTATTAAATACATATTCATACCTATTTAGAATTTCCATCGTAACTGTAGAACGGAATATTTCGTCATATATCCTTGAAATGTAATAGAAACTTTACGTATCTTACAAATGACAACAAACACGAAAACGAAAACACCTGCTGTGCACGACGATATTGCGTTGTTTTCGTATCGACCTTCTATCGAATGTCGTATCGACGTGTTCTCGAATGGAATTATACCGCCATATTCAAAACACATTTCCCAGAAAAAGAAATGGTTAATTATTTTAGGTATACGAAAATCTTCCGTGATGTGGAGAACGAGGTCAAACAGTTTCATTATGTATAGATTAATGAATGCATGTTTAACCTGCAAATGATTAAGTATACAACATCGACACAAACTTTATTTCTTTAAATCTAGAATATGGGCCAATGAAATCAATGTAAAACTGGAAACACTAGTACACAAATCCTTCCACGGGAAGCCATTCCTTATTACAAGATACACAAATACTACTTAAACTTGAATTATTTAAGTTCATTATAATAAAAAGTGATGTTATTTTCCATATTTAGGCTAAAACATTGCTGCAATTAAAAAACATATCAGTAATTAGTGACATGCCGGTCACGGTAGCCGAGGGGTCTAAGGCATGTACTGTCTTCGCTCGCTTGGAAACCGGGATCGTGGGTTCGAATCTCACCAAGGGCATGGATGTTTAGTTTGTGTGTGTGCGTTCTTCTGTGTTCGTGTACAGGTAGAGGCCTTGCGACGGGCTGGTCACCTGCCCAAGGAGTCCTACCAAGTGTGAAAAACCGAAGTGAACGGAGAAGTTCATGGAGGTAGGCCTAGGCCCACTGGGGCTGTAGTGCCAAGGAAAAAAAAATTAGTGACATATCAAGAAGAAGTTGGCCTGTAATTGATTCTACTCACTTCATTTAGTAAAGTAACTTTTGTGCTTACGAAGTATAATGATGCTGACAATATCAGTGAAGAAGTTTCTAACAGTCCTTACAGTCAAATAAAAAATGTGTGTAGATACAATTCTGACATATTCTATATCCATTTTTGGATCTCTTGAACTTACAATTAATACAAATACAATGCCAATATAAAAGCCTTCTGTGAAGATGTATTACTAAAAACAAAGTATACAAAATTTGTTCACTTTTCAACCTCTTCTTCAACTCTCTCATAAGTTACACATATTTTCCTCTTCTGTAACCAAATTTGGAAACAATTTTGTAGATCTTTGTTAGTGGTATGTTTTCCCAATGACAAATTGCAGTCTCCAGCATATTTTTTCACTAATCTCTATATTAGACCCCTTGAAGAGAATATCTGACTTTGCAACCAGCTAGAAATCAAAAAGAAGGCGTTAAATATGTGTAGCAAGTTCCCAAAGAATCGGCCTGCTCCCTTGCACCATATACACCTTTTTCACTTCATTGCTTAATTGTCATTAATGCCATTGTCTAGGTATAATCTTGTCATAAATATATAAGCATTCTTTTCAGATCAATTACATTTAATCATTTATTTTTCATGCATTCTCCTACAAGGTGAACTCATACAGGAAATGTTGTGCCCACCTAGCCATCCATAAGTTTCATCTTTGCACTCACTGATTTTATTTTTTTAAACTTAGTATTGGGAAGGATCTAATTTAAAGCTTTTGAAGGAATTTAATTTTGGTTCAGATTGGTCCAACATAATCTCTACTTTATATAAAGCTCAAATTGAGCTTTATCAATTTTCTCAAATTCAAAATTTTACAGATAGATTGGTACATGACATAAAATGTTGTGGGAACATCCCACATTATCACACATTTTCTGCAACGCACACTCTTCACATCACTTTTCATCACCACGTGCACTAACCAATCAAATTGCTCCAAACGTTCACATTTATACTGTGCTCGCTGCTAGCCCTGCATCTACATCATCACGCGCGCTAGCCAATCAGCGCCCTGCAAATTCTTCCTCCTCAATTTCAAGTTTCGCTCCACCCACCGAGCAGTGTATAAAAAGGAGCATCCGCAAATCGGCAGCATCAGTCGATCATCAGTCTACGATCAAGCCACACTCAAGCAACATCAGCCAGCAGGCTTCGTCGCCAGCGCTCGGTCTTCGGAGGCATCGGCAGGCTGCGCCAGGCACGACTGCCTCGGCCCTCCGGCTCTCTCACACCCGACTCACTGGGGCACCTCGCCTGGACTCGCCGGTGGTCGTGTCCCTGCCCGACCCACTGGGCATCTGGCGTAGTCACTGCCTCATCACTCCTACGACCGCGCTCAACGACCAGCTTTCACCAGCAGCCGCCGCGCTACGATCAAGCAACCTCCACCATCTGCCGCACCGCAATCAAGCAACAGCCACACTGCGGCCAGTCCACTCACCGCAACTAACCTCTCTCCCTACCAGCGCACGCCGCGCTACCTCACCGGTCAAGCATCTCAGCAACCACGGTCCTTTTCAGGACCAACAAACTGTTCCGAAGAAGTGGGTTGTCATCGGAGTAATGACAAAACCACATAAAACCCAACAATGTATACTTCACTGAGATATTCGGCACTTATTTGAAAGAGTTGTAAAACACAAGGAAAACGATTTCTGACTGTTATCCATTGTGCATCTGTAGTGTGATTAGCTTTTCAATAATGCATTTATGTCTGCAATAAATGAATGTGAAGGCCAATATCATCATCATCATTGGAAAAAGAGACTTTTGAGCCATAGACATCTTTAGAAGATTCTGTCAGACTTCTCTATCCATGTATTAGACCATCCAGTTCTCACTTCTTTGGATTTTACAACAATAACTTTTTTAAAGAGTAATGCCATCGGCCGTAAGTCAAACCCCCTGTCTGGAGGACCAGAGCCTGTATTTATGTTCCTCCAGTAACATAGTGGCCCAGTGATGGTCCAAGGCACCAGGTTCCCTTTTCATTGCCTTTGGTGATTCACAAGGCTACAGTGGATTTACTGTACCTGCCTCCACATGGGAGGCAAACCTGGAAAGTAAGCATTTTGAGAATATGTTAAATGCAAACAGGAATAAACTTTTTGACTTGTCTTAAATTCTGTGGGACAGTCAATACTTCTAATTCAAGTAATTTATTGCACACTGCCACTATTATTTTCTGATAAAATGCTGCAAAAGTTTATCTCTATTTCATTCCTTATGGTGTTCTTGAATGATGAGATGGTTACAGCAGAGGTATTTTCTGAGTTTCCCATGTACCATCAACTGCATCACTTGTATTACAGTTGTCGTTCCAATTTTTTTTCACCTGCTCAATCTAGCACCCAGCTTATCCTGAATATAACTATTAAAGTCATAAGATGAGTTCTCTTTGAGGAACCGTTCATCAAGAAATTTCCATCATTCATGGAACTCAGAGGTTCATTACTATGTTCACAAGAACATGACACGGGTGTCTATCCTGGGACATATATATTAATTAAATATTAAATCCATACTATTCTAATTTGAAATTATTATTACAGATTTTGAAATATATTACGGTTCTATACTCCAATTTATCGCATTTTTAATAAACTACTGAACTTTACTCATGGAAATCAGTTTACTGAAGCCACTGCATAGTATGACATCTCTTTCAGATTCTCATATTTTATTTGTTGTTAATCTTATCACTGAAGACTGTAGTTTCTCATTCTTGTGAGGCATTGCAAATTTCAACTAACATTTTCTGAAAAGAATCAGAAATTGTGAAGTTCATCACGTGATTTCTCCTCCGATGAAGTAGATATGTAATGAAGACCCAGTTAATAAACACACAATTTCTGACAGCCAAGCAGAACAGGGAAGGGTTTCATCATTTCCCTTCTAATTCTCTCCATCTTCTTCTCTCTTTATTAACATATCAAGCAAACAGATACAGGAGTCATTGATATCATCATTGTAACATAAACATTGGTTTGTAATCTTTCTTAACTTACAGTTAATTGTTGACTATAAGCATTAATAGATCACTGTGGTCGTGGTGCAAGGGCCAAGAAGGCCCACCCCTTATACATTCATTCATAGATCACAGAAGGCACAATAGATCACTGTGTTCACGGTGGAAGGGCCAAGAAGGCCCACCCCTTATACAGTCATTCCTGGCCCATACAATGCACTGTGTATTATCATTAATATTTTACAATGAAAGGAAATGGAAGTGTACACAGACTAAGTAAGTTGGAAAATTTACTTGGACCACTGAACTTAAAAATTTTCAGACTGATATTTTAAAAATTTTCAGTTATGGATGCTGCACTCAGTAAGACTGAAACAGATTGAACATTGTGTCAGTTTCATTAGACCTACACTACATGTTCAATAGGAGGCAGTGTTTGCAATTCAGGAAGCAAATGAAAATGCAATGAAAGGTATAATAAAAATTAACTTTTTGGCCTTAACATCACTAAATGCAAAATCTAATCAATATGATGGCAGAGAAAGGATTACCTGCCCTTGCCTGGAATTGAATCCCTCTTCCTCTATAGCTGCATTCTCTGGCTAATAGTGCCTAGGTTGACACAATGAATAGCATTTTGTCTATCATAAGATTTACTTGTATCCAGATAATTAAATGTATTCACTTTTTGCAGTAGTTTGTTGTTAATAAACACTTTATAATTTCTGATTAGTTATTTCCCTTTTAACAAAAGAAGTATAAAGTTGTTTAACTCTTTCCCCTGAAGGGGAGCGGGAATAATGCTGTCAGTAGAGAAACTGGCTATGGGCTGAACATCTGAGGGGTTTGAGTTTGAGTCCCATCAGAGGTAAGACTTTTCTCCTTTCTAGGTCATCCAGACCAGTTCTGGGGCTCACATAGACTCCTATCCAATGGGTATCAGGGGCTCTTTTCCAGAAGGTAAAGTGATGGGGTAGTGAAGCTGCCCACTTACCTCCAGTTAGTGTCTAGGTCAAGAATATGTGGATATACTGAAGATCCCTTTCCTCCTAAATTATATGGACATCCTAATTTACTAACTCTCTGCAATAACCAGACTTTGTTGAAGATGGCTATCCAGAACTTCCTTACATCTTGTTCCTAATTCGATATACAGTAAGAAATTTTGGTATTTTTCTTTTCCCTTATTCCTTCCATATGCTTCCATTTTCTTGGTTATTTCCTGACTGACTTCATGCCCACCTTCTTGCCAACTGCACTATGTACAACATTTTCAATTTCATTAATATATGTAACCATTTTCAATAAATCATGAGTATAAAATATACATAATGAAAAACCATTTAGGATTCTCATGAATATATGTCTGCCCTGCCATGCAGGTCATAGGTTTCTTGGTAATCATTATGCAGCTACTATGTACATTATCCATCCTAAATCTTTTTCATTTTACCTTGTCCTCTTTATTATGAATGGGGCCAATATTTACATTTTCCACTCTTGTTCTCAAAATCATACTTAGCAGTCTTTGCAAAAACATCTTTCCTATATGGCTAAACATGTTAACATTATCATATTTTCCCTCCCATTCTTTATATTTCAAGGATCCTCTAGCTCTTTTTGTTTAGATTAGCCAAGATCTGACTCTGAAAATCTTAATTTGTTTCCATTTTCATAGCCTAAAAACTATTAATAGTGTTTTCCCGTTATTCTTTCCCATCTCCTTGTCCAACACCACAGTCATTCTTTTAAACATACTAAGAAGTTGTCTTACACAGGAAGATCACTAGATTTATGCTGTCTTGTGAGTTGTCAGTATTTTAGACTACAAGTAGATTGAAAGATAAGATGAATTTATAAATGATAAATAAGAGAAGGATGTGGAAAGAAACAGTCATGCCCTAGACTGAGGTACTAGCCTAGCATTTGGCTGGAGTGACTGAGAAAAATCACAGAATACCTCAGTGAGGATAGTTGGTGTCCTGGCTGGGACTTAAACCCACTGCCTACCCAAAGCAAGTCACAAATATTACCACTTAAGATAAAAGAGCAAAGGAACTGTTGAAGTTAAACAGGAACCAGCTACGATGGGTGGTGGGACTGCTTACAGGACACTGTCACCTTAAAGGACACCTCTTCAAACTGGGACTAAGTGATAGTCCACTTGTGAGAGGTGTCAAGAAGGAAATGAAACATCCACACATATCCTGTGTGAGTGTGAGGCCTTAGCTTATTTAAGATTATGTCACTTGGGTCTATACTTTATGGAACCAAGTGACAATTTCAATGCCCCCATGTACAATATCCTGCGCTTCATTTGAAGCGCACGATTGCTGAGGGGATAATCAAAAGGCGAAGCATAAGAGATCACTGAAGGTCGTGGTGCAAGGGCCAAGAAGGCCCACCCCTTACATATTCATTCATTAATTAGCTAAATGACCATTGGTTTTTTTTTAAAAAGACTTTGACCCCTTGGAGTCAGTTTAATCTCACGCAATTCCAGTTTGACCTCTCTTCCAGAAAAAACTACCCTTTCATGCAGTGACTTCTTGGATATCATCATCCAATGTCACTCCCACCAGGGAGAGTTACTTTATAACAGTGCATATTTCATTCTACTCTGTACTTTCTTAAACAACCTGCTACAAGGATAGCTTTACCCTTCTTTAATACTCTTGTACCTATGTCCACTCCTTCCATGCTATTGATATTTCCCGTCTTGTCTTTCTCTGTGCATATGTAGTACTTTTCTTCTTCTTCATACATTTTTTATGCTTTCAGAGGTCAACATCTTCCAAAACATGCATTTGACTGATTTCCATACCACCTTGTATGAATATTATAGAACTGGAAATAATCTCACCATACTTCTAGATTTCCTAAGAACATATTGACAGCATGGTGCAAATGCAAACTTGTGAGGTGGAAGTGACCCTATCACACTTTATAATACTTACCTTAGGATCCTTAAATGATGCATTGTAACAAATCTTGTAAAAATATGCTAATTTTGTTAAGGTAAATCTTTTGTGTAATATAAAGTAATGATACTGAGGCTATGTGAAAATTATCTCATGTTACACTTTGAAGGCAAAAACTAAGGAAACATTGTAGCCATGGAACATGAAATATGACAAAGAGAATGAATCACAACCTGCAACTTACATATGAAATATAGTTCATATGTCAACAATTACAAATGGAACACTGTGAAAGTTTGTGGTCATACCTGACAAATTTAATATATATAAAATCTGTAAGTAGTTAAGTTCTTTGCAAAGCTAAAAAAGTAAAGTTGTCTCTGTGCTCAATTAAAGCACAACACCATGAAGGTGTATGGAAGAATGGCTGTAGAGATCCATGTATTCTTGACCTTGGCATTAGTTGGGAATGAATGGTCAGCTTCATGTACCAGCCTCTTTATCCCCCAAACCCCCCCCCCTTCAGTACCCATTGGATAGGAGACCTTGTGAGCCCCACAGCTGGTCTGGATGAAGTGGAAAAGAGAACAATCTTACCCCTACTGTGACTGGGAATCTGACCCTTCTGCCATCCACACCCTAGTAAATCACTATACCAAGTGCACCAACCCAGCTCCCCTTTGTGAAGATAAAATAAAATAACAACAGGGACATCACCTATATGTAAAAAATTATCTGAGTTGAAAGTTTAGTGCAAATTCAACTCTAGTCCACCACCAAATAATGTATATAACCTACACCGTTCACACAACTATGTAACATGATGTGCCTGTATAACAGATATAGATATATGCCAGGTAGGTGGGTATACATCCTATTTTGAATGGTATGGTACTATTTTACAGCTGTAGCACCATCTATACCATCAGCTTGCACAAGAATACTACTTTGTCCCCATATCATTCAAAGTGATAAGTTCTGTTTCTTATTGAAGTAACTGCTCTTTTTTCCCTCCAAACTACTGTTTTTCTTTCACTTTCAACCAGATTCTTTGGCATTCATTTTAATTTTTTTTTTATTGCTAGTGGGGTGGGACTAACTCCCTTGTACTGCGGCCACTTCTGGCCTACTGTACCAGCCACAGATGATAGGTGAGGGGGATTGTGGAGCAGTTGGTGGAATTATGATTGGCAGGGGAAACTAAGTACTCGGAGAAAACCTGCCCCAGCACCACTTTGTCCACCACAAATCCCACTTGACCAGACTGAGGATCAAACCCAGGCCGCTTCATTTTAATTAACACAATAATAATTTATTATCATTAGCTTTACATTGATGATATCTACAGTATGTAAACTTACCCTTGTGTTTCTTCACTGCTTACAGGAATGAGATAGTTCACGTAACTGAACTGTTTATTGTGGAACCAAGCAATACTGTAAATTTTCTTTGGGTTGGGGGGGGGCAGAGGGGTTCTGGCCTGTCCTGTTTTTGGCTCCAAATATTATGGTCACTTTAATGTTGGGTATGTTTACAGTAATTACAATATGTAACAGTATGAATACAGTTTAATCCGTTTTAATATTCACTGACTCACTGGTGTAATTAATACAGTTTTATCTTGTTATTACTACATACGATGGGGTACCCAAAAGAAACCGAACTAATTTTTTTGTGGGCAGAGCTTTTGTAGTACCGCATTTTGCCTCTATGAGCGTATAGAGCTAACATTCCTGAGTCGATAAGCAGACTACCGTTGCTTCAGAAGGTAAGGACTAGTTTCGGCAGAGTTTATAGTGACAACTGTTTTGTGTGACCGTCGTTTTTGCAATGGCCAGAACACATGAAAATGTTGAAAAAAATTCGTGAAATCATCAAGGAAGATCGACGACGGACCATTGAAGAAATTGTGGAGCTGTCGGGAGTGACTTGGAGCTCAGTTCAGCGAATTTTGACAGAAGATTTGGGAATGAAAAGGGTGGCTGCGAAATTCGTGCCACGACTGCTGACTGCTGAACAAAAACAAGGTCGCGTGGAAGCATGCTGTGCTTTGAAAGAAGAGTCCCGAAATGATCAAAACTTTTTTTCAGCGTTTTGCTGATGTTGCTGAGGTGAAGGAAAAAAACGACGGAGGCGCTGTCAAGCATCTCAAAAGATGAATTTAGACACTGTTTTGAAAAATGGAATAAAAGACTAGACAAGTGTATTAGTGTAAGTGGAGAGTACTTTGAAGGGGATTGAAGGTTTGTGCTTAAAATTTGAATAAATAAGTTTAAAAAAAAATAAGTTCGGTTTCTTTTGGGTATCCCCTCATATATCATAATCTTGCAGCTGGCAAACTAAAATAAACAACAAACACACTTTTTGACATATAATAAATATACACATGCTATCACCTCATGAAATGTCACATAATTTTAAAAATGTACAGCAAAGATTTCTATTATACCAATCGACTCGATGGTTAAACACCATGCTTTGACAAACATATACCTAGTCCTCTTAACTGATTAAGTATTAATTATTTACAATTAATCCATGCAGACATTAACTTCTGTCTAAAAACATAAAATTAGAATACATAAACTATTTTGCCTGTCTTTTTGTATAGGTGTGAAACTTGGTTTCTGACATTAAGGGAGGAACATAAGCCTAAGGGTGTTTGAGAACAAGGTGCTGGGGCGAAAATTCGGACCAAAGAAGGATGAAGTGTCGGGAGGCTGGAGAAAACTGTATAATTGGCAGCTTCATAACTTGTACTTTTCGCCAAGTATAATTAGAATGATCAAGTCAAGGAAGATGGGATGGGCAGTGCATGTAGCACGAATGGGGTACAGAGGAATGGATATAGGATTCTGATGGGAAAGCCAGAAGAAGAGAGACCATCAGGAAGACCTAAACATAGGTGGAAGGATAATGTTAAAATGGTTCATAGAGAAATGGGATGGGGTGGTACTAACTGGATTGATCAGATTAAGGATAGGGACCAGTGAAGGGCTCTTGGGAAAACAGTAATGAACCTTCGGGTTCCATAAAATTCTTGAGTAGCTGCGCAACTGGCGGCTTCTCATAAAGGGTTCATCTTCATGGAGTTAGTTAGACATTAATGTCATTAAATGTAAATATGATCCTGTCAATAGTGTTACTTGCACAGGGTGAAGTTGTCCTTGTGCTTAATTAATTAAGCGCTGTCATGAAGACATATGGGGGAGTGGAGTGTAGCACCATCACTCTTGACCTTCGCATTAGATGGAACTAACTGATAGCTTCATAGCCTGGCCAATCTGTAACTGGGGATATCACCCCTGGTACCCACCGGATAGGAGGATGCGTGGGTTCCAGAGTGGGCCTTCAGAATAGAAAAATCTTGCCCCTGCTGGGAATCAAACCCCATATTCTGGCTCTAGAGCTAAACACATAGACATTAAATATACTTCAACATGGCACTAAGAACTAAGATTTCCACTGGTTGTACATACAAGTCTTTGTTTAGCTACAATCTGAATCCACTAATTTTTCTTAAAATAACTACACAGCACATTTCTGCTGCTTGACGCACTTATTTTTCAAACCATTAATCAATAAGAGAGCCACCAGAAAAAGTGGAAGAAACATGATCAGTAGAGAGTACTTCCATTACGATGTAACCGTTCCATGTACAAAGCAAACAGTAACTTGTTACTTTCATAGTAATATGGGTTTTCTGAAGCATCGAGGTCTGGGCTATACTGAGATAAGATCTGGTTTGTCATCCAGCTATTAGGGTGCAAACACTGGCGACTACCACTGACTTCTAGAGGCTGCTCAGGATGGCCAGGAATGCCGCTGTTAGCACTACAGGTAGACTGCAGTGCAGCATCACAGTCATTTCCACTCTGGTAACTATGATGACAGAGTAATTCATTTCCATTTAATTTTAGGTATTCTCCACTTGGTTCCATACATCCCCATTCATCAGAACCTGGTTCAAAAAGGGTATCCTGAAAACACAATCATTCATTACAGTTGGACTGACAAGGATGTGAGCTATGTGTTTATCCAGTCAGACTTCAGTTGTCTAAAAGTCTCTTCCAGGGTTTTCTTTAGTTTCTTGTTTTAGATGGTCTATACTTTGACACTGATCTTGATCTGTCTCCCTCTCAGAATATAGGTCATTATGGTTTACATTTTGCTACTACAGAAACACTAACCAAGTCATTTCAGGTTACTTTGCAAGGAAATATTACTCGAAAAGGGTCTAATTGGAGATATGACATGAGGTACAAAATCATTATTGGAAAACAGTATTTAAAATGAAGAGATAATAGTATAAGCAGTTTTTAGGTGTGGAAAAGACATATCAACAAGATGAAAAACATTTTACCATAACTCTGGCTTTGTAAAAACAAGTATGTCATTGAACTATAAGTGGGGAAAAAGTATTCATTTCAATACATGCCTACATGATATAGCAATGATTAAAGAAAACTAATACAAACACAAAAACATTACAATACTTTGCTATCAGCAAATACAATGCAAAAGTATAATGAAGATATTTTTAGGAAACAGAAAAGACTGAACCTTCTTTCATTCTTACAAGAATGTTAACTCTGAAGACTCCCACATAAGTGGCGACTTGGGTCGTCTCATACCTGTTTTGTGACAGGATGTTTAAGATGCTGGTACCCAATACTGTTGCAGCAATTTACATTATTGATGCGTAAATTATTTATTCTCTTTGATAGTGGCATGAAATCACAGCAATCTTCTTCGCAGCTACTGCTTCGAACTCGTTTCCTGAAATATACACGTCACAACATTTACTAAAGGAACCGACATCGTAAGTATAATTAGTCAACTGAAAGTTCTACAAAGTTAGGTTAGCTGAATCGAGTTATGCAGTTCGAGGACTCACATTTCACAATATTTATACTGAATGGCATTTCATTTCGTAGTAACTGTAACCATAAATTATACGTAACCACCACTAATAACAATATTACCTGCTTTTTAAATGTCCATGATTTTGTTTTATTTCCATTTTCGCAGTCAACGGCGTCAATATTGACAACAATCAAACCGTTGACTTATACTTACCTGCTACTTAGCAACGCTTCTGTCATAATAAGGTAAAAATACAGCTGTACTTAACCACTTAAGCACTACGCCATGAACGCCATAAAGGTGTATGGGGGTGCGGACCCCACAGCCGCACTGGACGACATGGAGAAGAGAGAGAAGTTAAAATTCTTAACCCTACCGGGACTCGAACTCCGACCCCGTAGTCAGTATCTATGAAAGCAAAAGTTGCATTATAATCATTTTCTTGCATTAAATTAATTTTTGTGCACGTCTTTCGTACGTCGGATTATATCGGAATTTTCTTTATTGTGAAAAATAAATGTATATACAGAAAAGTACTGCGCCCTCTACTGTACAGTCTTCTAAACATATTCTATTAGGTTTGCAGCGGTCGCTCCGTGGTTTATCCAGACATAGAGCACTCTATTGGCAGAATACAGAATCATTACAAGACGCATACAAAATGTATGGTCGAAAGTACTCTGAAAATAAGTGCCAATAAAGTTTATATTTTGAAATAACCTTAGAGTCTTATAACTATTATTTGAAATAAATTTTTCCTATCAAACGATATGAATTATTGTTTAATTTTTAGCATGTGTACTCAAAGTTATATCCAAATCCATAAGATGGCATGAATACATGGTAATGTTATCTATATAATTATCAGAGGACGCACTGCTTGTTGTACACGCTTCGGCGGTACATATACTAAAATTAGAACGATACAGGAAACATTAGCATGGCCCGTGCGCAAGGATGGCACGCAAAATCATGAATCATTCTACTTTTTTTTCTTAAAAATCACACCGAATTCAACGCATGTATGATGTCTACTGATCTGCATTGCCGTGGGTCATAATCATGTGTTACTCGAACGTAATACACCACGGGCCATATTAAATAGCCGTGCTAAGAAATGATTCTCTGCTTGATGTCGATTTACCTTCAATCCATGGTATCCATGGTTTAATTTTGTCACGAAAGCAGGAAGGGCGGGAACTACAGTGTTTATGCACGTAGAGGACTGTGTTTGTGATAGATTTAATAGTGTAAAATAGAGTGAGTAGTATTAATATAGAATTGTGAGGTTACAGCTGTCGTGAAGGAGGTGCTGCTTCAGTATATTTCTGGCAGTTTTCTTGTATATTGGAATTTAATGGACAAGTAAGTTTAAAAGATATTAGAGATGACATATTAGAGATCATAACCCTACAATGAATCTTCCATTCAGATATATTATTTCCCACATTTAAAGTTACAGATAACGTTCTATTCATGTTCTACCTGAATATGCAAACTCAAAGGGTTATTTAAGACCAAGAAGTTCATGAAGATGGTAAATTAATATAATTATTGAATTTTTTGACATTACCCATAAACATGTATTTGTTTAAAACAATGTTTCAAGACTGTACTTTCCCCTGCTCTCAGGTAAAGTGCCTACCTAGTTTGGCCTATTAGATAGAACGGGTCCCTATCTCCAGACACCAAAACCAACTTAAGGTAGGATATATAAAACCAAGCACAACATAAACAATCTGTGGGAGTTACAACAAAAATCCTCTGTTTGTTGAGTCTGTATTAAAAAAAAAAGAAAGTAAAGCTATCCCTGTACCAGGCCGTGAAGGCCCATAGGGTTGTGAGACGTTAAGGGTCCCACATTATCTAGACAATTGGCTCAAAGATCGCGGTAAGGTTGTCAGCCTTACGCGCCGGCCGCGCTTTACACCCCAGGAAAATTATTTAATTAATTCCTGGTACTCATTTCTGTTAGAAGCTGAGTCGACCCTAGGGCCATAGTGCGGCTGGAAGGATTAGGTCAAATGAAAAAAATCCAGTGACCTCATAGGGACTTGAACCCGCGACCTTGCAGCTTGTAGCATAGCCCCTCAACCAGCTACGCTGCCGCGTGCCCCCGTTGAGTCTGTATGTATATTTTTTTGTGTTGTCTAAGATTTTTTTATTTTATAATATTTGTAGTAGTTATTTTCAGAATTTGACTCAGTAATTTTAGCTTCTATTTTAGTTGAACTCTGATTTTATTGACCCTGGCCATTACATTATGCATGGCCACAGGTGTTGGGCTCCCACAGATGATTTGTGTTGTGTTTGGTTTATATATACTGCCTTGTGCCTGTTCTGGTGTCCAAAGATAGGCACTAGCTCTATTAATTCAGCCCAGCTGAGTAGGCCTTTTACCTGAGGACAGGGAGAGTCAAGTCTCCAAAACTTTATAAATAAAAATAGGGCGATGTATAGTGTCCAGAAAGTCCAAAATTTGTATGTTGCGCCCTGTTCTGGTTAAAGTATGTCAGTGCACAATATTTTTAGTGTTCTTCCTGTTACAAAAGCTAAATTATTACTTGATACAGGTATTTTTAAATATATTCTGCTAATTTACATAGTGTGGTAGAATTCATGTGAGATCAGCATGTGTAAATTATATATGATGTATCAGAGATATGACATATGGATTTTTGGAGGGAAAGGAAATACCAGTTAAGACTTACTTCAAAGCACACTTTTCCTGCATACCTAATGACAAGTCAGACAAAATGATGGTAGTCCTGCCAACTGAGATTTCATTATGGTGCCTCCTGTATAAGTTGGTTGCAGTTCCCTGGAATTCAGCCTCTTTTGGTACCTTCTCTCGTGCAAATGTGGCATTGAGAATAATGTGTGTCATTTCTAGTAATCATAATTGTTAACTGAACTCAATAGCAGGAATGCCATTAAATTAGAACTGTTTTATTACAACACTTCTAGGAGACTGACGAAATTCTAAGTAAGACTACTGATCCAGAATAGATGACCTTGAGATTAAGTATATTTTTATATATTACGTATATATATTGTATATTATTCTGAGATATTCTGGATATTAATGTGCACTGTGCTTTGAATTGAAAAGTGAATGTTACTTTTATTAGCCATATTTGTGTTCGACCATACTATGACAGTAAAAAAGTTGGTGGTCACCCGTGTATTCGACGAACCCCGGTATATCCATGCTGTGGTAAATTGTGTTGAATGTTACACACCACAATTACGTTTTGAGCCAATTCTGAGCAACATACATGGTGAATATAATTAATTGCCATTCTTATACGTGTTTTGAAATGGGGCTTTCACTTCAACGAGATGAAGGGTCTAGCTTCAAATTCGAAGTTATATTACGACCGACAGTAAGTCGACCGTGCCGCTGCCTAACAACGGACGTCACTTCTGGCTCCACTATTCCGACCTTCAGCCATTATGTCGCAATATTTATGCTTAAACGCTTGTTTTTGAGTGAGGAACAGGTTATTATGTATGGGACCAGGGCCTTCGTTGCAGTTCTCTCGATATGGAGTCTTCATGTCATATTCATATTGAAAATTGCGCCAAGATAATTCACAATGTTTACAAAGGGAATGTTCCTTCCATTTAGTTGTAATGCGTCCTCAGGACTCTTAAGTCTTCTAGAGAAGCAGATCGTCTGAGTTTTCCTTTCATCGATCTTTCTATTCCAACACTCACACCACGACTTCACTGCAGTGAGACCGCGTTACAGTTTGCCGAAAACCCTACATTCGTGAGTCTCTGTCGCGTATATAAAGGTATCGTCCGCGAACAGGGAAAGATGAGTTCCAGGTACCGCTAGTGCATCGTTTATATATAGACTATATAATAATGGGGCAAGGACGGAGCCTTGAAATACCCCTTCCGCTATTTCTCTGGGTGTAGAAAATTCGCCTCATGTTGAGACCTTCAATTTTCTATTAGTAAGGAAGGAACCAATTAGGTTAATAAGACTTGTAGGAAATTATAATTCTGACACCCACCTTCTCGTCAGATAGGATGTTACGTAAGGACTATTACTGCAAGAGTTCAGTTGGAAAAAATCTCTGGTCGTGAGCCTCAAGGGGCCTGACGCCAAGACGAATTGATTGGCGGTAAACCGCCCGTCGTAAAATAACTGTGACTCTGACTAAGTCTGACAATTTGCCAGTAGACCAGAGTGCCAAGGTGTGTCACAGAATTTCTCAATGTCCAAGAATATCACAGCCGTCGACGTATACTTTTTAAATTTGGACTGATATGATCGTCAGCATCATACATTGAAGCGCAGTTCTGTGACACGCTCGATAGTTAAAGTGACTTGCATTTAGCAAGTTCTTTTTCCTCAATCTCTCTTCAGATTTTTCTTAAAATCAGTTTCACAAGAAGTTTGCCAGTAGTGGACAGGGGTCTAATTGGACGTGAATTTGGGGGAATTTTGGGTGTCCTTGCCTGGTTTCGGCAGAGTTATGAATTTTTGCTTCCTTCCAAGTTGCTGAGCAGTGACAAAGATGTTCTGTAAAGAACAAATCGCATATTTTCTTTTGATATGACGCAGACCGCATAGAAAATTACGCCTTCAGGAATTTTTCTTTTTCTCGAGGAAGTGTTTACCATACTGCTGCATGACAACAAATGCAAGCAATAATAGAAGAATTGTGTAAGTTTTCAGGTTTTCACGGCGATGACTATGAAGAATTATTTGACTCGTCGTTTTTTTCTGCGGTCCGTGTCGTCTCAAAGGAAAATAGGCGATTAGTTCTTTCCAAAATTTCGTGTTTGTATAGCACCCTTATTTTTTCACTATTGTGTTGTATGTTACCCCTAATTCCGCAATGGGCAAACCGGAAACCGCAACTGTAATACATTTAATCATTTAATCAATACAAATCTTAATGATCCACACTTTCTGAGTGCCTGTGCACTGGCCCCTGCACTACTGGAATATAACAGTCTTATTCATGTTGCAATAAGCGCGTGTCACACACACTGTACTGTACTATTACAAACAAAACAAACTTCGTTGCTTGTAGTTCGCAAGAGAACAATACCGAACGAACGACCGCCGCTTGTCGGCGAAGTTAGTGCCAACTTTTGCTGATAGACTGTGTTACGTAGTCAGCGCAACGGATCCACCCAACCGTTAATCTCGGTTTTCTAGACCAGAACCGCTATTTCCTTGAAATAGCTCCTCAATTATCCTCACGAGGCTGAGTGGACCCCGTTCCAGACCCACTTCTTCTCAGAAAATCTGGTAGCGCCAGGAATCGGACCCGGAACCTCTGAATCTGTAGCCAGGAACTCTGACCACTCTTGAGAACAGGGTGCTGAGGAGAATATTTGAACCGGAAAGAAATTAAGTGTCTGGAGGTGGGGGAAGGCTGCATAATGAGGAGCTTCATAACTTGTACTCTTCTCCAAGTATAATTAGAATGATCAAGTCAAGGAGGATGAGATTGACTGGGCATGTAGCACACATGGGCGGAAAGGAATTGGTATAGTATTTTGGTGTGAAAACCAGAAGGAAAAAGACCACTAGGAAGGTCTAGGCGTAGGTGGGAAGATAATATTAAAATTGATCCTAGACAGGTAGGATGGAGTGGTTTGGACTGGATTGATCAAGCTCAGGATAGGGACCAGTGGAGGGCTCTTGTGAACACGGTAATGAACCTTTGGGTTTCATAAAATCTTGAAAAATTCTTGAGTAGCTGCGCAACTGACGGTTTCTCAAGAAGGGTTCAGCTCCGTGGAGTTAAGATGCATTTCTCATTAGATTGTTCATTTGTTTATATGTACGTGTATGCTTCCGCGAGGTCGCTTTCGTTTAACGGACTTTCTTCCCTTAGAATCAGAAGGTTATGACGGCAGTCAAATAGCATTTGCAGAGGGCCGGTACTTGGCGAAACCAAATCAAAGGGTATTAATCATCCGAAATTCATGTACGTTCAGGCTGACTTGTTTTCACTTCGCT